CTGGGATTAAAAAAAGAGAATGCAGCAAGCAGAAGAGAGCGATTTATTACAGGTGGTGGACCACCAATAAAGGACACATGTGATGAATTGGGTGACTTGCTGTCTGGTATAATAGAGCACCAGCAACCTCTGGATGGTATACCAGACAATGACCATTTGGACAGTGAACATGGAGAACTGAGCACAAATGGTAAATATACCTTAGGAAGTAAATTGGTTACAGGACCATATTAGTTGATTTGAGTTTGGAACAGTGGTCTTTTTTTCCAGAGGAAACCAATCAAGAGCCAGTTCACAACGAGCCTGAACCCTCCACATCTGCTATGGCACCCCTGGGAGATGAAGCTGCTACCATCCAACAGAGACCAAAAAAGATAACTATGCATGAAAAGTTAGCCAGAGAATTTCATGAGCGTAAAATTGAATATTTAAAAGAAGAACATGAAATGAAAATGAGAATTCTAGAGGTTGAACTGGATATGAAATTGGGAGAGAGGGCTATGCTCCAAAAAAGAATTCTGCATACTAGTAGCCATGGTGAATATGAGGAATTGTGAAAAATAAAAATAAATGTATTGTCATTTGGCGTGTGAGTGAGTATTAATCATCACAAACTACATTTTACCCGACTTGGTTCACTAGTTTAATTTTGCTACATTATTGTAATTTTGTACAGAAACAGTATGCAAGCACCACCATACCATAATGGATACATTCCATATTTAAATGCTGAAGTGCTGCACTGTGAAAGCAGCTCTGTGTGCAAGTCCTCGCTGGTCATTGGCTGCCTCTGCCACCATGGGCACATCTGCATCATCCTGATCTTCCATTGGCAGGTCAGGACAGCCATGCTGCTTCAGGTAGTTGTGCAGCACAGCTGTAGCAATGATCACTTTGCAGCATCTTCTTGGCTTGAAACGAATCGTATTTCGTAAGCACTGGAATCGAGTTTTCCATACTCCAAACATACGCTCGATCATCCCTCTAGTACGGATATGAGCTCTGTTGTACCTTTGCTGCTCAGCTGTTGTGGGATTTAGATGTGGTGTGAATAAATAGTTACTCTGACCATATCCACTATCACCAAGTAGTAGTCCACTATGTTGTCCACTCTCAAATTGTGCACACAATGAAGAGTTGAGAAAAATCCTTGAATCATGGGTTGCACCTTTCCAACGGGCAACAATGTTTGAAAACTCCAAATTAGGAGTGCATACACCCTGAACATTGATTGAAAAACAGTTCTTACGATTCCTGTATTCCTCTGCATCAGGAGTTGATGGACACTTGATGGGAACATGACATCCGTCTATACAGCCAATCACTCCTGGAAAGTGCCCATATTCATAGAATTGCACTTTATAGTTGGCTTGCCCAGCAGCATCAGGGAACTTGATGTAAAGACTCCTCAGTTCACAAATGGCACTGCAGACTTTGTGAACTATTCTACATACAGTTGGTTCACTGACACCACACAAATCACCAGTTTCACGATGAAAGATTCCACATGCCAAGAACCTCAAAGTGATCAGAACTTGCAGTTGATTGGACACAGGCCTTCCTCTTTGAGACAGAGAGGAAAGTCTAGGCTCAAGCAAAGTAATTATCTCCAATGCATTTTCCTTGTGCATACGAAAGCGGTCTCGAAAAGTTATTTCATCAAACTGATTCAATGGATCACTCCTATCCAGCAGTATTCGTCTGGCTGGCCTTTGTCGTGCATGTTGGTCCTCATTTAGATATTCCAAATAGTCCATGCTCCCAAACAATCCAAGCTCAGTTTCACAAACAGTAGCCTAGCCTACTAAGCGGGAGTTAAACCTGCCTCCTTGGCAGATTAGTTTAAGCTTCAATTCAGTCCAATTTAGTCCTGGAGTAGCTCTAATGCTCAATTTTGCAATCGGCTTTGTTTAATCCAGAACAGGCTTAATCCACGAGTATTTTAAACTACGTCTGTGCAAGTGAATTTCAGTTAAGCCAGCTCAAACAGCATTTTAGTCTGGGACTAGGCTTGAGCCTTGTCTCCGAAACCGGCCCATAGACTTCTATACAATCCGACTCCTGGTGGTCAACTAAGAGAATGCAAACCAGAGGTTTCCCGCTTGGTATAAAAGCATGAGTGACGCCGAGAAGTGGCAGGTGGCATGTTTTGAATGGCATATAGCGGTCTGGACCCGCCTCCTCATTATTATGTGAATCCCATGTCAATTAATATCTTAACGATAACGACTACGTTTTGCCACAGAAGCCTCGAGCCATGTTGGAAAATGTAGTAGTATGAGTCGTATCCAAAACGTTTTCTTCAGTCTATGTAAGCAAATCTTCATTTGTACGTCTCCCATTTAGCCAAAGTACTTTATTTTAGACGTTTTGCGCTGTGCTCCTTTCAAGTCGCTGTGTTCTGCAAATTTCTCAATTAAGTAAAAAAAATAAAAACTCTATGGAAAAACGCATGGTTGTAAACATACTCATTCACATGGGATATGCGTATGGATGAGGAGGCGGGTCCGTGGCCCTACATGCCGTTCTGAGATCGGAACGTGCCACTTTCTGATCTTGGCGCTAATGAAAAGCACATGGATAAATTCTGTTTCTGCACTCATTTGTGTATTTAAAAAAACGTATAACCATGTCGGAACTTGCACATCAAATCAAAAGTGGTTCCTTTTTGGAAATAAAAATCTTCTGATTCCACGTGCAGTGGCCTTTCTTTACAAGTAAATTATAAGAAAGGGACTTGTGTCACATGATGGCAACAGAGGAACCTTTTAAGAGCTTTGAGTAGGTCCCTCGAGGCCACTCGCACACTGTACTTTCTGTCTACTGTCGAGAGGAGAGAGGAAATCAAAGGGCGGGATGAAAGCCGGGGAAAAAAGCAGAGCTCACCTGGGGAGGCGGGGGGGGGCGGGGTTGGTATTCATTCGTGGCATTGAAGCCTGGATGCCCTGCAGTCTGCACCGGTTCTGTATCTCTGCCTCAGAAAGTTGAAGCATTGCCTCGTGGGAAAGACCTGTTGGCTTACAGTCAGATTTCATGAACATGCTAAAATCCTAATAAAATCTCACGCAGTGAGTCGCTGCAATTGGCTAAACAAGCTGAGTAGGGCACAATATGGTGCAGCGTATGGCCTGCTGCAGGCTAATGCCTGGTTAAACAGCAGTGCTTTGTGAGCTGACATCCCCCCCCTCTCCACACACACACACACACACTCCAGCAGCTCACCACAGACCCCTCGTCTTCTCTCAGCTGTCGGCCTGCATTCCTCCCTACTGCTCCATTTATGGCTACAGAGGGACAAAGAATGGAAGAAACTGACGTCTCCTCAACAACCGCTCAGAGCTACAATAATAACCTTTCACTTTTCAGAGGCACACAGCATCTGTCCGAGAGTCTCCACTGTTTCCTCACGGTTGAGTAGGAGCGAACATTGTCCTTATTCATCCTCACCTTGAAAAAGGGACACAATTATACAGTTGATTCACACACACACACACAGATTCCTGGATTTACCGCTTGACAACCCGAACGGTATATTTTTGCTCACTGCCTTGTGTCTGCCGAGGGATGGATAGCATCCAGTTATCTCCCCCCCCACTGAGCCTCCTGCTTTACATCAAGGCTCCCTGTCAGCTGATGGAGTCCCTCTGGGTCCTGTTAAGACCACGTAGATTTTTACAGACGGAAACACGAAAATAAAAGACGACAGGAAACCTGTGATTATACATCAGACGTGTGCTGCACTCCGCCCCCCCCCCCCTGCTCTCTCTCTCTCTCTCTCTCTCTCTCTCTCAGACAGACAGTTCTTTAACTGCGTGCCAAAAGTTTCCAGAATAGATATCAGGTTGTGTCTGGATGGTCTCGTACTCTCTGCACAAAGACTCTGCACTGTGTCCCTAGTTGTGTTTTCACTCAGAGTTAGACAAAGGATAAGGGAATGACCTCAGGTCTCCCCCACGGGCCATTAGGTCGGTCAGTGTCCCCGCTGATAATGGCGCTCGAATCATCACCTGACACCCAAACAAGTCCTTGATGCCGACATTCAGTGGGAAATTGACGCTCTGACGCTTTGTCTCGTTGGCTCTCGGCGTGATCTCTGACGGAGGGGGGCAGGTGCGCGCGGGGGCGTAGCGTAGGCCTGTCGACCTACAATATGCCGGTTGCTCACTTGGCTGGCACCAACCTGAGACTTTCTCCAGATGCCAGTCAAACACAGATTTCCTCCACAGCCAGTGTGTGTACGTGTGTGCATGTGAAATCCCCCTCTGCTCTGCTCCCAGCAGGCTTCCTATCTACAGAGTCCGGCCAGTCATTCCAGCCACTGATAGATACAACGACCTGTGTCCAGAGCTGCAAATATAGAGTGACTGATCACTCTTTGTCTCGGTCCTAGTTGACTTTTGCACGCGCTGCATCGCCTGGTTCTCAGATGTAGCCCTGTAGCCGGGGCCTCTTGTCAGGGCAGCACAGTTAACCTGCAGGGCATCCTGCAGATAATCCCCCTCCCACTGCATGTTGTCTCAACATTGAATCGGCTCTTGATCAAGCAGTAGCTGTCTAGTCACGGGAGGAGGTAGGGGGGGCACGGGGGAGGGTTCCAGCTCAATGAGCCATGCGTATCTCATGACCTTCTACACAAGGTGTACCCCCCCCCAAGAGCTATGACCAATAGGATTACCAAAATGTGCCTCTTCATGACCCCAGAAACTACCTTTACTAGTTTCTGCGATTCTTTTTTGATTCTCGAGTAGGTCGACCAAAAACGGCTCACATGTGATCTCACATTAAACAAGAACAAAGCTCTCCGTGCCGATGCGTGTGGAAGTCTGTAGTCTTCCAGCCCCTCAGCACCTCCCTCCCCACTCTAATGCCATATCTATGATCAGTAGATAACCTAAATGCCAACACAGGCCTGTTGAATGGGGGCTCTCATTGTAGACGATACCGCTCTGCGCGGCTGTTTCCTGCTAATTGTAATGTGTGTCCTGTTCCCCTCCCTCCAGTCCTGGCTACCGCCGTTGGCCAGGAGCCCGACCACAGCCACGGCTGTGCCCAGGGCAGCTGTTACCCAGCAACGGGGGACTTGCTGGTCGGCCGGGAGAAGAACCTGAAGGCCTCGTCCACATGCGGGATGAGGAGAAAAGAGCCGTACTGCATTGTCAGTCACCTGCAGGTCAGCGTGCGCGCGTGTGACACCGTTCTATGGTCCGTGCGTTCCTCCTTGTCGCCATGAAGTCACCGAACTTTTCTGGTCCCGACCGCAGGATGAGAAGAAGTGTTTCGACTGTGACTCCAGGCGGCCGTACGACCCGGTGTACAACACCATCAACCACCGGGTAGAGAACGTCATCACCACCTTTAAACCCCACCGCAAGAAGTCCTGGTGGCAGTCGGAGAATGGTGAGGATTGGAGATAAGTGGTTATTGTTGACTTCTCACTTGAAGGGATAATGAAATAGTGGATATTTTGAAAAACAAATGATCCAATTGTAAAGAGGAGAAGAACTGGAAAAGGAATAAGATCCTAGTGTGCCGACACTACTTGCAATAAGAACCTGGGAGCCATGAATCATTTTTAAAGCAGCATTGCTGCTGCCATTAACACTCACACTTTTGCACACACACCCACACCTGCTCCGGCTTAATAACAGAGTTGCTCTGGCATCTCAACAGAGAGAGAGGGGGGGGAAACAGGGAAGGGGCTCGACGGGGAGAGGAGAAGTGTACAGCGAAAGGTGGGGGAGTGTTCAGCACTCAGTGGGCGACTGCGGAGCCCCGTGCAGAGCTTTGTTTCTGCCGTGTGTGAGAACCGCGTGGCCGTAACGGAGGGCTGTCGATGACAGCAGCCTCACACCCAGAATAGAGCGGGAAGAAACAGAAGAAGAAGGGGGACAGGAAGCGTGCTGGCTATTTTTACCCCTGGTTGCTACTGCTTTTCCATGGCATCTTTGCATGCGGCATGTCCACGGTGGTGCTGGTGGCACAGTGCGGCCATTTGATATGGATAACAGAGGGCTTGTTGTGTGCACATATAAATTGGAATTACAATTTCATGGGATCAGAGGCATAAATGAGGGCCTTCTATGGCAGAATGAGTGTGTTTCCATTACAAATTCAAACTAACTTCTCACCCTTTGTATTTTGCATTTTTTAGACGACTCTTTTTCATTCGAGGTTGACCACGGAGGCGTTTTGTCTATGTGTACTAGATCTAGTTTGGGAGGTTGACCCATCGGATTTAAAGAAACGGTCTGTTCATGAGGATAGGTACTGTCATCACCGGCCAGAGTGTTAAGAAGGACCCAGGACACATGGATGTGTGGAGGGACAAAACAACACACAACTGAGTTGGCGTTAAAATTAATTCTCCTTTAGTTTATTTTGAATTTTTTCTATTTAATTTGGCGTTTTAAAAAGCTTTACCATGGGTTTGTGTTTAAATCATTAGTTTAGAGCCATGGAAAGCAGAGACCCCGATCCACCCACTAAACCCAGCCCAGTGTTGACAACTCTGCTCTCGCTAGAAACACTTTTCTAGACACAAAATGTTAAATCAAGCCATCAAAAACTGATCGAACCCGTCCTCTCGGGGCCCCCCAAGTTATTATGATGATCACAAACAACAATCATGGCCATTGTTAATGCTAACAGCTGCCAAGCTAGCAATTTGTCTCAAATTGTTATTTTATTTTTTGCCAAAATAAATAAGTTTGGATTTATTACAGTCCTTGGAGAGCCACACACACGAGGTAGGAAGTACATGTACATGTTAAGTCTATGAGTATACGTTTAGAAGTGATCTTCAGTGTTGAGATGTAAAACACAAAGTTCTCCTCCTGGTTGCTCGTTGTGTGTGTTGGTATTAGAATTGGAAATTCCTCTTGGCTTTGTGCTGTAAAGTGGCCTTTCCGACGTGCTCCGACATTTCTCCTGCCAACACTGGCTGCCGTTTCTCCTCCAGATGCCAGAAGCACGGGCGCCACTTCCCCTGCTGCCCACAGCTCTAATTCACTGTGGGAGAGAAAGCGCATTATTAATTCTGAATACATGGAAAAAGTTTGTGAACCTCTTGCTCTTTGTCGCTTTTCTTCTCCCAGGAAAGTCGGACGTCTTCGTCCAGCTGGATCTGGAAGCAGAGTTTCATTTCACTCACCTGATCATGACCTTCAAGGTGGGATGAGAGCTCCATCGGTTTTTCATGGAAAAGGAATTTTGCTACGATAGTACCCTTTTTCTTTCTTCTTAACGGCGATCTTCTCTCGCAGACCTTCCGTCCGGCGGCCATGTTGATCGAGCGCTCCGCAGACTTTGGTCGCACCTGGCAGATCTACCGCTACTTTTCCCACGACTGCACCGCCGCCTTCCCCGGAGTCCCCCAGGGTCCTTCGCGTAACATCAACGACGTCCTCTGTGAGTCGCGCTACTCCGACATCGAGCCGTCCACGGGGGGAGAGGTGAGCGACCCATTGAAGGAAGTGGTTTGAGAAAAATAATTCGAGCTATTGTCCTTTAGCAGATTTCACACGTAAGTTGTTTCATTTCAGATTGGATGGAAAAAGGTGTTAAAAATATTATATTAATATTATTATTAATAATATTAATATTATTATTATATAAATATTATATTAAAAGGTTTTAATATTTGTTAGCTTTTGTTCCTGTGTGTTTAATTCTGACGTCTTCTCTGGTCTTTTGTCAAGAATACTTTTCTCCCAGAATGAGTAAAAGTCCGACTCAGACTCGTGCTGCAGCTTCTTTTATTGTTTGTCAAGTCCCTCAAATATGTAATATGTGCATAATATGTGTCCCTGGTCTAGGTCATCTACAGAGTGTTGGATCCATCCATCAGGATCGAGGATCCATACAGCCCGAGCATCCAGAGTAAGTCAAGTGAAGTCATTTCCAACAGCGTTTTGGTTGCGTTTAACAAAAAGGAAATCCCCTCTACGTTTCAGAGCGTCCATGTCAGTGTGTTAATGTTTGCATTCCGAAGGCTCTTTCAGGTAGGGAAGCTCTACCTCAGCAGCTGGAGTAGCGAAGTAGACAGCGTGTCCCCTTGCAACGCCGGTCCTCGAGGCTTTCATGCCACAAATGTTCTCTTATTCGCTTTAGAAAGAAAGAGGAAGATCAGAAGCACCTGCAACGCAAAACGTAATCTTGCCAGATTAGTTTATATACGCCTGTGCGGATGAACCGGTCACACCTTGAGGATGTGTCACAATTAGCCGATGGGTTTGTCAATACTTTATCTTTTGAAAAGCATCCCGTGTTTAAGAAATGTTTTTTTACATAAATCGCCACGCTTTTCCTTTGCGAGCCGTCATCACATTTGTCACCACAAATCAAAGTCGGGCCGACACATTTGGCTGGGTCCGATCCAGCTGTGCCGCGTTATGGACAGTAACAGCCCGTCTCTCCGGGGCGAGAAACGTGGCCCCGCTGCGTGGAAGATGTGAAAAGCAGCTGTTTCTCTCCCACACAGCATCACTGTCCCGGCCCTCGTGTTTGGACTGGCAGGACATGAGAGCTTTTCCCTGAAACCCGAGCTCGCCTTCCTGTGCAGCGGCAGAGGTCGTCTTGTTCTTCTCGTTGTTACATATCTTGCCCGAGACCGACCCACATGGAGACCCCGGTCCTCCCTCAGCTGAGCGGTGCATATTTACTGTTTTCCAGAATATATTCCAGTAGTTTTTTCTTTTTTTCTTTATTTATTTCTGTATCACCTCTCTGTTTTCCCTTCTTTTTGACCGGCGGGCCTTAAGTCACATCACAGCCCTGACTTTAACCGTAGCTATGCAGCCTGAGGGGAAACATGTTAAGGAGGTTCAGGGAGCCCTAAACAATCCTACTCTGTACATCCATGAGTACGCTGGAACAGGACCTGCTGTCTGCTGACGCTGCCCGTCTGGATAGAAGCAGACGCTGTGGTGCAGCGGAGCTGGAGGGATTAGCGCTTGTCTGTCAGAGAGGGATTCTATTACCGCAGATAAGAGTCAGCAGGGGCCCACGAAAATAAAGCATCCCGTGGAACATTTCATCCATCTTATGGAAGCGTCGCGCCTTCAACTCCAGTGTGATTTAAAAATGACAGGAAGATGAAAACGCTCAATGTTATGTCCCTTTTTGGTGAGCTGAAAGAGGACTGAACGCAGCTGCTCTACTGTCAAATTATAAATCTTCATAGTCAGTTAGTTTATAATTATATTCATCGTGTGGATGATGACAGTGGTATGTGTTTCTTGTATCATTTTCTCCCATTTTCTCATCTAAAGTGTTTCTAAATGCTTTACGAGAAAAGTTTTATTAAAATTTGCATTTACGTATGACAAAAAGACAAACGTTAAAGACACAACAGTCATGTTTCTCTCTAATAGGAACTCCTTCCAAATAGTTTAAAATAAAGAGGTGGGATGTCTAGAACATTTTCAACAGCACATTAATTTTCGGTGCCTCTGGAAGAATTTCTGAAACAACCAAATGCAGCAGGACAGACACACAGCGAGTCGGGGTCAGTTTAAATACCGAGGTGTGTCGGTGCAGCACAGCTGGCAGGTGGGAGAGGGTGTGGCTTACAGCTGCACTGTACGAGCTGATTTGAACAAATCAGTGTTCATGAATTTTCAATCTTTTTGCTTTAATAGATATAAAGATACGAAATACAACGTACACCAATTACAGATCTGCGGTTTGACACAAGCTCATATGATGATTCTAGAGGTCATTCAAGTACTCTTATTAGCAAATCCTTGTTAAACTAACCACACGTTGACCAACTAATCCTGTGACCATCCAGAGCCTTAACTGTTGTTTACCCATAATGCTTTGCCACACATCTTGGTGCAAAATGGATTTGTATTGCGCGGGTTTGCATTTGTCTGTTTCGTTAACCCACACAACCTCTTTGACCCCTCACATGTTCTCCTTGGGTCCTCTCACCGACAGACCAGCTAAAGATCACTAACTTGAGAGTGAACTTCACCAAGCTGCACACGCTGGGAGACAACCTGCTGGACCCCAGAGATGAAATCAAGGAAAAGTACTACTACGCCATGTACGAGCTCGTGGTACGCGGGAACTGCTTCTGCTACGGCCACGCCTCGGAGTGCGCGCCCATCGTCGGCATCCGGGACGACATAGAAGGAATGGTGAGCGGCTTCAGTTACATCACAGAATAATCAGAACCAGAGGCCGTTTATTGCCACATATGTTACACATAGAGAAATTTGACTGCATTGGTGCAATATAAGAATAAGATATAAGAATGAAATCAGATAAAGTAAAATAAAGAATAAAGAATTAACAATAGAAACAGATAAGTACGTTAAAACCACTGTGTGTTCCGGGGATGAAGTATTTGGGTCAATGGGGGACAGACTTGGTTCATAAGACCAACTGCTGACAGGAAAAAAATGTTTCTATGGCGGGAGGTCTTGGTCCTGATGGACCACAGCCTCCTGCCCGAGGGAAGGGGCTCAAAGAGTCTGTGACCGGGTCCAGAGTCCTGGGGGCAAACAAGTCCTGGAGAGATGGCAGATTGCAGCCGATCACCCTCTCTGCAGAGCGGATGACGCGCAGCAGCCTGCCCTTGTCCTTGGCTGTGGCTGCAGCGTACCAGACGGTGATGGAGGAGCAGAGGATGGACTCGATGATGGCCGTGTAGAAGTGGATCATCATCGTCTTTGGCAGGTTGAATTTCTTCAGCTGCCTCAGGAAGAACAACCTCTGATGAGCCTTCTTTGTGATGGAGCTGATGTTCAGCTCCCACTTGAGGTCCTGGGTGATGATGGAGCCCAGGAAACGGAAGGAATCCACGATAGCGACGGGGGAGTCACACAGGGTGATGGGGGAGGGTGGGGCTCTCTTCCGCCGGAAATCCACAACCATCACTGTCTTGGTTGTTCTGGCTGCACCACGACACCAGATGCTCAGCCTCCACCTGTAGGCGGACTCGTCCCCACCAGAGATTAGTCCAATGAGGGTGGTGTCATCCGCAAACTTCAGGAGCTTGACGGACTGGTGGCTGGAGGTGCAGCTGTTGGTGTACAGGGAGAAGAGCAGAGGGGAAAGAACGCAGCCTTGGGGGGAACCGGTGCTGATGGTCCGAGAGGCTGAGACATGTTTCCCCAGCTTCACGTGCTGCTTCCTGTCAGACAGGAAGTCTGTGATCCACCTGCAGGTGGAGTCGGGCACGTGCAGTTTTTGCAGGTTTTCTGCTAGAATGTTCAATTGGCGTACTGGATGTGAATGCCCTCTTTTTCTCCCTTGAAGGTCCACGGCAGGTGCGTCTGCAACCACAACACCAAAGGTTTAAACTGCGAGCGCTGTGACGACTTCCATAACGACCTGCCCTGGAGGCCGGCCGAGGGTCGCAGCACCAACGCCTGCAAGAGTGCGTACAGAGGAGGGGGCAAACACACGGGGAAAGGAGGGAAAAAAACTCCACAGAATAGCAACAGGTCAGCAGTAACTGATGTAATTGAAATGTCCCTTTTTGCAGAGTGTAACTGTAACGGCCACTCGTCCCAGTGCCACTTTGACATGGCGGTGTATTTGGCCACGGGCAACCTCAGCGGAGGGGTGTGTGACGACTGTCAGCACAACACCATGGGACGCAACTGCGAGACGTGCAAACTCTTTTACTACAAAGACCCCGTCAAGGACACCAGGGACCCCCAGGTCTGCATCGGTGAGTATGTGTTTGTTTCCGAACAGATTTATCACTCTAACTTTAGAGCATTTACCTAACATGTCAAACCGCTCTACTAAACTTGTATTTCCACTGCAGTACTACCTATAAGGACATTGTAAAGAATCCCTTACTGCAAGTTGAAGTAGACTACAGGATATGAAGAATTTGTGAAGGTTTGATGGAGCTCGTGGAACGATATAATATATAATTAGCTCACCTGGCCCCCGTTTCTCCCGTAGCTTGTGACTGCGACCCAGACGGCTCTCAGAACGGCGGCATGTGCGACAGCCACACGGAGCCTTCCCTCGGCCTGGTGGGGGGTCAGTGCCGCTGCAAAGCCAACGTGGAGGGGCCGCGCTGCGACAAGTGTAAGACCGGCTTCTTCGGGCTGAGCCCCCACAACCCTCAGGGCTGCCAACGTGAGTACACTTTCGGTCCCAGTCGACATGAACGGAGGCGCTGCTTTTCAGTGTGCCACAACTAAAAGATGGTCTGTGGAAGCTGGCTTATTTCTCCCTCCGCGTGTGCCACCAGCCTGCCAGTGTGACCACAGGGGGACAGTGTCCGGCAGCTCCCAGTGTGACCCGGTCAGTGGAGACTGCTTCTGCAAGCGGCTGGTCACAGGACGCAGCTGTGACCAGTGTTTGGTAAGAAAGGACAAGAAACTGATTTTATTTTCTGTCTTAAGAGGATCTGGGATATGTAGATATGGCTTCTAGTTCCCTTGCGTGCTTTTTTCTAACCTCTGGACGACATCGTTGACATTTTTTGTGGAATGTTCAAAGCGTAACATGATACAATAAGTTTAGTAAGCATTGAATGTCAATTCCATTCATTTTACTCCATGACTTTCTCTTTCTCTTTTCACTTCTTAATTAGTGCTGCTTTAAATCGTCCTTCTGAGAGATTTTAGGTGGAGATCAGCTCCCTGTTATGATTCATCCTCTTGTCCCAAACCTTCTCAGTGAGGATTAGTGTAGGCAGGAATGTGAGCTACTGGGCCTAAGTTTAGCCCGGGGATTTGATGCTTGTCCAGTTGGTGTGGGTTACGGCAGCCCTAAAATGGTCAGGGCCCGGACCGGGTCCGAAAGTGGATCCTGTCTTCCGATGAGCCTCATTTAAGTAGGGAAAGTGTAATCAACATCGAAGAAAAAAGCTCGCAGTAAAGTTCTTTCTGTCACTGTGCGGTAAAGTGTATTTGAAATAAAGAGAAACTATCAGCATAAAATACCCACTCGCACATAGAAAAACACTAATGTGCTTCTCTAACGACATTAAAGACAAAATGTCAAATAGCTGTGAAAGCTCATAGGCTCGTAGTAAAACCAGCAGACCACGAACTTCAACTGGATTGATCGACATTAAAGGAGAAACCACAACATTTAGCAAAGTACATATACATCTCCCAAAACCCTTAAAATACCTCAAATCCAATGTGAAATCGCTGACTGCAAATAATACCCAGCTGTAACAATGTTAAGCTCCTTCTGAACGTGGGACTGTGCCCCCAAGCCATGAATGTTGTTTTATTGGCTCAGACTTGTGACAAACCGCGCAGAAGCTCCCTTCTGACTGTGTAATATGGCGTCTGCCCGGAGCCCGCGGTTCAGCTGTCCGTCTACCGCGCGCTCGCCTGTTTCTGCCCGTCAGTCACTCCGCCCTCCGTCTGTCCTTCTGTGCTTCCAGCCGGAGCACTGGGCCCTGAGCCACGACCTCAACGGCTGCCGAGGCTGCGAGTGTGATGTCGGAGGAGCTCTGGACAACCAGTGAGTGACGCCGTAGCTCTAATCCCAGGTCGTAGGTCACCAGAGAAGCACCAGGCCGTTGTGTGTCCCCCTGGGATTCATTAGCCTCCACCTTCTCCCTGGGAGCAATCATTTTTAAACCTGTTGTCGTATCAGTGTATTGGTGGATTCATCTTGTTGTTGACGTCCTCCATTCAAACATCCTCCATTCAAAGTTCATGTCTGATAATGGAAAATGACATTTAGTATTTTATTAGCCAACTAGTCAATGACATTTCTCAGCAGGTCCATTGATGTAGAATGTTGTACAGCAATTAACCCGCCGCTTCAAGCTCATGACTTTGTTGATGTCCTGACCTTCCCTCTAGCGCCACCAGGAGGTTGTCATTTTGGGGTTTTCGATTGACATTTGCTACATTTGTTAAACTTATTCCCTGAGACGTGAACCGATCCATTGGCGGTCCCATATTACGGATTATCTTTGCCGTGGTATTTGCTCCTGTAAAACAAGATAAAATAAATAGCAAAGAGAGTATTATTCCATGTTTAACTTCCTAACATTTGCTTTAAGATGCTTATAATGCATCTAATGCCAATATGTTTTTCCATAAAATAAAAGTGCAATCATTTATTTCCCATATAGCAAGTATCAATTACAATAACAAAGTAAAGGAAATCATTTAGAGGTTTTGCTACCAGCTCAGTATGTTCAATACAACATGCTGTGCTAAAATGGTGAACATAGCAAAGCCTCACGATAAACATCGTCGTGTCAGCATGCTGATGTTAGCGCTGAGCTGTAATTGGCAGTGGCCTGTGAAATAACAATGCTATTTATGTCTTCGCTGCAGCTGCTCCATGCAGAGCGGTCAGTGTCGCTGCCGCAGTCACATGACCGGACGCCAGTGCACGCAGGTGGAGTCCAGATATTTCTTCATGGCCCTGGATCACTTCCTGTATGAGGCTGAGTCGGCCAAAATGGGGCAGGTGAGCCCACCGTTATTCCTCCTCGGCGCACGTTTAATATTGTCGAGTCATTATGTGGCTTTAGTATGGAAATATATCCACAACAATATTTGAATACGTCTTGTATATTCTCAGGGCTGTACACCCGAGACCAGGGAGCACCAGCCGGGTCGCCCCGCTACGTGGACGGGCAGTGGATTTGCCCGGGTACCTGAGGGCGGCACCCTGGAGTTCCTCATCGCTGACATCCCCTACTCCATGGAGTACGAGCTGCTTATCCGCTATGAGACTCAGGTCTGTGTGTTTGGGTTCATGGGCTCCTCCAAGCAGTTGTACCGTTTTGTGACTTTTTTTTTCTGTTAAATGTTAAAGGTCTTCCTAATTTCTTTTTAAGACCAGGTGGTGAATGAGTCCACTCCATATCTTTTATTGATGGTTCTGTTTCTGGGCAGTCTCTCATCGATGAGACATGTCCAGAAAGTCACTGAAACCGGCCAGCATATAGTCCCGCACGTGTCCCGTCTTGTCACAGTAAATTTCACCAATGATAATGCTAAGCTAACCGTCTCCTGGCTCCACCTTCATGACCGAAAGGTTTTATAAAGAGGTATTGATCTTCATTTCCATGTACTGACGAATGTCCCCTTACAAGTGACTCAAACGAACATGTTGGTTTTGCGTGTTTCAAAAGGAGAACATTTCCCCAAGCATTTCCCCTCACACGCCAAGCTGTTACTTAGTGACTATAAAGCATATCATGGCTACGCTCCTGACTGCATAATAACCATAAAACTCTATCTACCCAGATGCCACGAGACTGGGAGGATGTGCAAATAACAGTGATCCGTCCGGGGCCGATTCCAACCAGCAGCCCGTGTGGAAACACCATTCCAGATGACGACCGACTCACCGTCTCCCTGCCGGCTGCAGCCAGGTCTGCGGAGCAAGAACACAAACACACACGCAGGATTGCTGGACGTTAACTGTGTGCTGCTGACTGTTTTGTCCAGGTTTGTGGTCCCTGCTCCGGCTGTGTGTCTGGAGAGAGGTGTGACTTACACCCTCCGCTTTGAGTTTAAACGCTACCAGGATGCCAACAGTATCCTCCACGGAGCGGCCGAGGCACTCCTCCTCATGGACTCTGTGAGAGGAGTTTATTTTTCCACTTCTCTCAAATGTTAATGCACAAACACCCCCCTCTCCTATTCACACATCCTGACTGTCACCAGATTGCCCTGATGCCGCGCCACACCTCCATGGAGATGTTCAACGCAGGCGATACAGCCTCCAGCAGCAGGAAGCAGGCCTATGAGCGGTACCGCTGCCGCGAGGGGGCGAAGAGTGTGACACGCCCCATGATGACTGACACCTGTGCCAAGCTCATCCTCAGCATGTCGGCCATCATTAATGACGGGGCTCTAGGTGAATGAAAAACACCTTCTCGTGCCTTGTTTGAATGCAGTTCATTCGGATTAGTGCAGTAAGCGTTATTAAACATTTAAAAGTGTGGAATTTGGAATATCGGTCAAAAGGGTAGACGTTTCTCAGCCTAAGCAAAAAATCAGTTCAACTTGAAGCTATCAATCTATGCAACATAGTTCTGTGACCTAACATTATATTACATATATATATTACTCATATTACATTATCCCAATATCAGCATTTGTTTTTTGTGCAAGATGTTACCAACTGGAGGGGTTCAGTGACCTCATGTCTTTTCTTCTCTGTCCTCCGACAGCTTGTAATTGCGATCCTCAGGGGTCCGTCAGCTCCATGTGTGACGTCCGGGGGGGCCAATGTGCCTGCAAGCCCAACGTGATAGGTCGACGCTGTGACCAGTGCGCTCCAGGAACTTACGGCTTTGGACCCTCAGGCTGCATAGGTGGGAAACTCTGGGCTTGGTTATATGCTGGATATTGGGCATATTTCAGGTGCCTCGATGTGCAGACACTGCAACAGCTAATCAAAACTCTTTGATCTCACACAACATTGGTATTGTATTGGCCCTGCCTTTGACTGAGCTGCTAGCGCCCCCTACTGCTCAGTGCACGCTTTTCAAAATCATGAATGAATGAATGCATGTTTCTCGTGGTCCCTTTTCTCCCCGGTCCAGCCTGCAGTTGCAGCCTGGAAGGCGCTGTGACTCGACTCTGCGACAAGTTTAGCGGTCAGTGCCAGTGCCGGCCCGGAGCGTTTGGCCAGCGCTGCGACGGATGCCAGGCAGGTCACTGGGGCTTCCCCAGCTGCCGACCCTGCCGGTGTAACGGACACGCCGACCAGTGCGACCAGCGGACCGGAGCCTGCGTCAGCTGCAGGGACAACACCGGAGGAGACAAGTGTGACAGGTGATGTCTCCATGTGGAGCTGCCTGTGGTCTTTATTGTATAAAGACAATAGTAAAGTAAAATATTCATGTATGAATACCATTACATGATTTCTTTTTCTACTCTATTGTTTCCGTAGGTGTGCCAATGGTTACTATGGTAACCCCGTTTTGGGCAAAGCATCCAGTGCTCAGTGTCGCCCGTGCCCTTGTCCTGAAGGCCCCAACAGCGGACGCCACTTTGCTGCGTCTTGTTACCAGGACAACCGTGACAGACAAATTATCTGCAACTGTAACCAGGGCTACACGGGTGAGACTAAAGTACTTGTGTATTTGTGTACATGTGTATGATCTTCTTTTGTGCTGTTCGTCCCATCAGTACTTTCTGCGATACGTCGCCTCCTAATCCTCCGCAGCGGATGCTAATGACATTATCACTGTGCCCAGATGTGTGTGCGTGGGTGATGTATGTTCTATAGATTAGCATAGAGTAGCACGGATTCATTACACTGCTCTTCCTGACACACTTTGGGTCATTGTTTTCGAACAAGACTACAAAACTTCATCTGAGTCAAATCTGTGAAATGTGTGTTGATGTGTTTTATCAAGCCAAATGTCACCTCGGTGGATCACCTTAAGCTAAAAGATCACTTTTATACTCAGAAAGATAAGACTGAATGGTAATATTTCATATTTTCCTATTATTTATGTTCCTAGCTCTAGTTTTGTCCAAGGAGGAGCTAAAACTAAAGGATAGATAAGATCTGTGATAAGCCTCAACCCAAAGTCCTTCTACTGGCTGATGATGTCTTCTAAAGCTAGAGGCTTACTCACTGTAGGCCAATATCCTCTCTCTCTCTCTCTCTCTCTCTCTCTCTCTCACACTGAATGCATGCAAATGTATTCTTGCAATTGAATTTGAATTCCACCCCCCCAAAGTGGGCTCTTTTATGTCATCGTCATCATCCTGTAAAGACATTGTCAACCCAAGACAAAAAGTATGACATTTCCATCAACCTCCATTTTACTTGCTAATTCAGCAAACATGATAATTACTTTTATAATTAGCACATTAGCATTTAGCTCAAAGCACTGCTGTTTCCTGATACAGCTGCGTAGAGTCGTTATGATGCGTAAAGGCTGTTTAGAGAGCCATGTTTGACCTAGTGGTGATGCTGTAGGAAGGGTCATATATCCATCCCTATTATCAATACGTCCTGCATAGTCCATCGTTAATGACACAGCTTCCTGTTGTTAATGAAGTTGACTTTTCATGTCGGCCACTGAGGTGTCCCTCCCCCCCAGCAGCTCTGGTAGTAACACAACTCCAATGTTCCCCCTTAAGTGACCAGGTCAAGGATCTAGCTCCACTGAGGTAAGAACAATGTTTGTGGTAACCTGTAACTTCCTCCTCCCCTGTTTTACTGGCACAGGGATTGTTAAACGCTCCGGGGTGACCGTTTTTAAGCGTGAGTAATGATGGTTGACCCCCGTCCCTTCTAGTCCTCCTCTATTTTCTACCAACCCTCCACTTCACTTACTCTACCAATGCATGGCTTCAGTGCCCCCCTCCCCCACCAAGGCTGCTGTGCCACAGTGCACTCCCGCCCACGTGTGAAGACCTGGCTCAAAGAACAACGTCAAACCATTTCTATGGCTGTTCTTTGGCTGCCAATGTGTCAGTGGTCCCCAACCACCGGGCCGCGGGCCGCTTGGTACCGGGCTGCAGAGATTTGACTTTTTCTTTCTGAAAAAATATTTTCTTTTGAAAAATGACTGGATTTATTACGTGCTTGTCCCTGACATTTTCCAAGTTGTGTTTATCTTCAAGACCGGTATAAGTAAGTGTTGTCTAACGGGGAACCGGCCCGTGAGAGAAAAAAGGTTGGGGACCCCTGTGTTACATAACAATATTATACGAAATTGTAACCGGGGAAAACATTTTAAAAGCCAGATTTGACTTTGTAAACGTTTCCAGTCCAAAGATCCGATCAAACCGTGTGGTGTTCCAATCATATAAAGGTACCCTTCAAAGTAAAAAGGGAGAGATTGGGAAGGTGTTTATACACGTGTTGCTTGATTCTGAGTCCAGGTCGGCTTCTGCCTCTTGTGTTCAAACTGTTTGTGTTTATCCGTGTGTGTGGGGAGAAGTCGCACGGTCATCTCTTGTAAAATAAGAGCTGCACAGATACAATAGTACAGAGAGAGAGAGAGCACAACTTGTCATTGTGCAACAAAATGCCTTCAGCTAGCTAAAAACATCAAAAGTCAGCATGCCAGAGAGTTATTTTAGCACCTTATGTCTATTTAAGGTTTTAATCTATTAATTACTAAAATGAAGTTTCCAATCACTTGGTTCAGCAAGCTACTGCAGTTTGATACGGCGTTTGCAAACCTTCTCCACATTCCATGACTACAAGTTGCATACTGTTAAAGGCTTTAGCTGAACTATTAATCCAACCACACAGCGCACAACGGAGGAGGCTGCGTACCATCCGATGCTCTTTGTCGTTATGATCTGTCTGTTACATTAAGGAGACCGTAATGTTTTTAAAAGTACAGGAACTAAAAGAGAGAGTGTACCTTAAAAGCTGAAGGATATCATAGCTGCTTCACTCAGTACTCTCAACTTAATTGTTGATTTTGGAGGTCAATGGTCAGTTTGACTTTAGGTTTGTCCAAATCTCAGGAATGTCAGGTGGGAAACGGCATGATATCCGACAGAAACATTGATTGGCAACCAGTCGAAGTTGTTCTTGTACCAAAAGGCGTACAAACCAGAGGCAGTAATTCTAGTGGGGTTCACTCGTGTGCAAACAAGCATATGTCCTTAGTGGGGGTTTAATACGAGTATCTACTGGAAAACATTTCAGGCAAAAATGAGGAGGGTCCTAATGATCACACAAAACAAGAACCTGTTGAATGTGCTGCTGATAATTCATAAATGTTATGCACCCTGAAAAAACTGCTTTTGAAATCCTGCAGCACTTCACGCACCTAACGGCAAAGATATTCAAATAAAAGCCGCCTTATCCGGTCTCCTTTCTTATTGGAAGTTCTATTTCCTTCTCCCAATTCAGGAGCCCGATGTGAGGAATGTGCTCCGGGTTACTATGGCAACCCCTCTCGGCCCGGAGGCCGCTGCCAGCCGTGCCAGTGCAACAACAACATAGACATGTCCGACATGGAGGCCTGCGACAGGCAGACCGGACAGTGCCGGAAATGCCTGTACAACACCGAGGGCCCCGACTGTGGCATCTGCAAGAGCAGCTATTTCGGCGACGCCTCCCGTCGCAACTGCAGGAGTGAGTGACAAAAGAAAGTTGCTTTTTCAATGAAATCAACAAAAAAAAAGAGGAAGCAATACGATGGTGACGCGTGGCGGTTTTTGCCCCTCAGAGTGCACGTGTAACTTCCTGGGGACCGACCGCGGCCAGTGCATGGAGCGAGAGGACTGTGTGTGTCAGCGGGCGTCCGGCCAGTGCCAGTGTCAGCCCAACGTCATCGGCCTGCCATGTGACCACTGCGCCCCCAACCACTGGAACCTGGCCAGCGGGAGGGGCTGTGAGCCCTGCGGCTGTGACCCCCACAACTCTGTCACCGCGGCGTGCAATGAGGTAGGGCGCGCTTGGGAGCCGGACGCGTCCAGATAAGCGCTTACAAGCTCACATCTATTCACGCCGCCGCCTCGTGCTTCGCTCTGTTCTGTGCAGTTCACGGGGAAGTGTCAGTGTCGCGACGGCTTCGGCGGGAAGACCTGCACAGACTGTCAGGAGAACTACTGGGGAGACCCCAGGACTCAGTGCAGAGGTTAGATACACAAGGACATAACGCATGCTTCTCATAGACATGAGGACTTCCCTTTTGAAACCTCAAATTGGGCTTTTTGGCTTTCTGGAGCAAGGACGAAAGGCTGGAGATGTCCAGTTCTTTTTCTATTCCTAGAAAACAAACTAAGCAAAATAAACAGGTACCAATCAGAATGGAAAACCTTGTGGTCCCATGCAGGCACTAATCTATAATTAAATAATGTATTTTGTACAATTTTATGTTGTGAATAATCATGAAATTAATAAAAAGTGTGAATACTTTCATCCAAGTTTAGTTATAGACTGCATGAATGTGGAATTTAGGCGATGGTCTCATAATTCATATTCACCCTCTGCCTTTTTCTCCCTCTTCAGCTTGCGACTGCGACTGGCGAGGCATCGAGACCTCGCAGTGCAACCGGGTGACCGGCCACTGTGTTTGCCAACAGGGGGTGTCCGGTGTGCGCTGTGACCAGTGTGCCAGAGGCTTCTCTGGCCACTTCCCCAACTGTCAGCCCTGTCACAAGTGCTTCGGGGACTGGGATCGCATTGTGCAGGTAGAGGGGGTCTGATAATCCTCAGTCAGCAGAGGCTAAACGTGAAACATGGAGTAACCGATGACCACAATCTTTATCTTCACAACTCCGTCTCACCATCAGGACCTGGCAGTACGCACCAAGACTCTGGCAGAGCGGGCCCATGAGATTCAGACCACTGGGCTCACTGGGGTCTATGAGAAGGCCTTCAGGGACCTGGAGGAGAAACTGGCACAGGCTCGGGGAATCGTCAATGCCCGCAACGCCACTGCCGTAGCTGTCACTACCCTAATGGAGCTTATTGAAGATCTGAGGTACAGCTGCAACATCCCACTGCATCTAAGTTAGTTCCTCAGATACCGTAGTGGTGCCAAGATAATGATACTTGATTTCGGAGCCGTTCAGTGTGTCTGAGACAGTACATTTAAGATCACGTCGGGATTGTAATTGACATCATTTTCTTGCGCTGCAGAGCGCAGATCGGGGAGACCACTGACGCCCTGAGCCGTCTGGAAGGAGACCTGACCATCGTCCAGGACGGCAACTCAGAGGCGAGCAAGGAGCTGAGTGCTCTGGAGAGAGAAGCTAAAGAGCTCAACCTCACGTTAAAGCAGCTACACCGCCAACTAGATATCCTAAAAAACTCCAACTTCCTCGGTAAGAACAAGAGGGAAGTTGTTACCTCAGATGTTCCGCTCCTGTCGGCTCTTACGAGTACACCCTCTGTCTTTGCATCACCGGGTCAAGAATATGTCATCGTTTACAACCCGCATATTTAGTCCCGCCTCCGGTTTCCTCTAGGTGCGTACGACAGCATCCGTAGCTCCCACAACAAGTCTCGTGATGCGGAGCGCCGTGCCAATGAATCAACCACCACCAGGCCCAGCACGGTCAGCCAATCAGCAGACACTCGCCACCGCACCGAGCGCCTCATCGCCGCCAAGAAGGACGACTTCAACCGCAAAAATGCAGCGAACAAGCGCGCTCTCGGAGACCTCAACACCCGAGCGCAGGGCCTGGACTTGAAGAAGATCAACGAGAAGGTTTGATCACATTCCTTATTCTCTGAAACAGCTGTTAGCCCCGATAGATTGGGGCAGTATTTATCTATTGTGACATAGACAAAGAGAGGAAGGCTTTTCTGCTCGCTAAATTTGTAGTTTCTCTGCACTGCGTCCACAATTTTTGCAGTTTCATAAATGGCGCATGCTCACAATCTGGCACCTGAGTGCTATGTGGTGAACACCTTCATTTCATGGAATACCAAAATGTAGTTTTATTCGATTATTTTCTTACGCTGTGTTTCGTACTTGCTTGTCTCCCTGTGACATTTTCGCAGAAACGTTACATTCCTTTGGGGTAAAATAAGAAGAAAAGGCTACTTCTGTTGTCTGATCATTTCCATACAAATTCATGCACACGTTCACCTGTTCCAACAGGTTTGCGGCGCGCCAGGTGATGCTCCCTGTGGGGAAAGTCCTTGCGGGGGGGCAGGTTGCCGTGACGATGAAGGGAACCGCCACTGTGGAGGCCTAAACTGTAACGGCGCTGTAGCTGTAGCTAACAACGCCATGGAGAGAGCCAAACACGCAGAGAAGGAGCTCAACAAAGCTATGGGAGAGGTAGAGGGACTCTTTTCCAAGGTACGGAGTTCAGCTGATTGAATTATAGAACATTGCCGTCATTCGTATACACATGATGCCCAGATGCATCCAGCACCCTCAGAAAATGACTACAGCTCTGACATGCATGTCCAAACAAGATTCAGAAAAAAACACTTACCCTACTTATTTAGTCTGTCAATAATCCGGGCCCCAATATATCGCAGATATGTTTGCTGTTTACAAGCCTAGTCGAATGCAAAAGACTTGACCACATAAACAACTCTTGGAAAATGTCAATAAACCACAGTTATTGTGAATAGCTGCCAGCCTTTAATGTCCTCTAAGAGCACTTGCGCCTTTCATTCAGGTGGCAGATGCCAAGACGAAGGCCGAGGAGGCGAAAGGTAAAGCCCAAGCAGCTCTGGACAAAGCCACGGCCACCAAGAACAAAGTGGAGCGCTCCAACAATGACCTGAGAGACCTCATCAAACAGATCCGAGACTTCCTCACCCGTGAGTCTGACAGGCGTAACTGGTCTACACTTTATTATATGTTGCACATGTCGATGTAGCGAGGCAAAGCAGGCCGCTGCTGGAGGCTCACGCCGTATCACTGGCTCCGCTAGAAGGAAGGGAGGCACCGGGACCAGAAGGACCATATTACTGTAAAATGAGAGGTTTTCTGAAGGGAGTCTGGTGCTCTGAGCTTTTTGTCTACAGGGAACGCCAAAATCAACACAAGGAGAAAATTCCTCCTAGTAACGCGGTTGTGTTTTGGGTTAATGAAGCCTCCTGCCTCCTGTCATTCCTCAGAGGAAGGTGCGGACCCGGACAGCATTGAGGCGGTGGCGAACCGCGTGTTGGAGCTCTCCATCCCCGCCTCGCCGCTCCAGATCAGGCATCTCGCCGACGAAATCAAGGAGCGCGTTCACAGCCTCTCCAATGTGGACGCCATCTTGCAGCAGACGCAGGATGACGTCCGCAGGGCGGAGCGACTGCTGCTGGATGCCAAGAGGGCAAGGTAATCCTAGAAGACTCTGATTCAGAACCAACTCAACAAAGACATCTCACACCTCCTGTCGTCGCTGTTAAGGCACAGTGCTGAGGGGGTGAAGACCACAGCGGAGACGGTGAAACAGGCCCTGGTGGATGCTCAGACTGCCCAGGCATCCGCAGAGAAGGCCATAGCCAGAGCCAAGGCCGACATTGGGGAGACTCAAACCCGACTGACACAGGTAACTCTTAACTCTCAGCCCTTACGGCTGCACATACTCCCACTGTGTGGGATATATTTAAAGTTGGACCACTCCAAACTGTTCATATGGTTTATTGTCCACATGAGGTCCTGGACATGGAATACAATACAGGCCTACAATCAGACTACAGACAGCTAAGCAGATTATCAAATGAGATGAATTAAGGATGAAGTAGTAACCAGACTTTGCAGCACAATTACATAATAATAAAAACAAAGAGAGACACACACTTGACAGGAAGTTAAGCTGCTGCTATTGAACTAAATATGACATGTAGGAGACGTTGGACTTTATTCTGTAAAAGCATCGACTTCAAAGCGGGTGACATGTTGGTGTTTGGTTGCAGCTTGGTCATGTGGTGGTTTCAAAATAATTTGTGCGGGTTTAGTTTATGATTCATGATCCATCGTGATTTCAAGAGGCATGAAACTCCTTTCAGAGGGATCCCGACTCCCTTTCCCCTCTCTCCGCAGATTGAGTCGGAAACGTCCAACAGCGAGAAAGACCTGGACGACGCCATGGAGCGCCTGGCCACACTGGGACGGGAAGTCAGCGCCCTGAAGACCAAACGAGCCAACAACAGCATGGCAGCAGCCCGGGCCGAGGAGACGGCCACCATGGCACGAGACAAGGCCAACGAAGCCAAGCAGGTGTGCGTGCGCATGTGTGTGTATGTGTTTCCTACCTAGCGGCGTACACAGCTGTTAAGAGAATAAGTTCTCCTGTGCTTGGTACGAAGATTCTAGATGGCCAACTGACGGATAAATACCACGAGGTGCAGCAGCGGGTCGACACCAAGGCCAAAGTTGTGCAGGACGCCAAGAAGAGAGCGGAGCACCTCAGACATGAAGCAAAGGAACTACTGAGAGATGCTCAGAACAAGCTCCAGAGGCTAGCAGGTGCTTATGCGAGTGTCTGTGTCTATTGGATGGATGTTTCTAGTACTGAAGACTATAAATAATCTGTTACAGATTTACAACAAGTTTACTTTACTATTGGTTTACTTTTCATATTAACTATTCAAGAATTATTTGTAATGCAGCTCATACAGGCTAGTAAAACTATAATGACAAAGTACACATGTAATCTCATTGGCACCAATGCAGACGCAAACAAAAGTATAAAAAGTTATAACCAATACAGTTCCAGATAAATAGCACTGTGGCCGGTCTTTCTGGTTCATTCTGGTTCAAGCAGGTTAAACAAGGCCTTGGCAACGCCAGAATGTGCTTTGCAAACAACTAAAATAGAGCCTTAGAGAAACCCAGACCACAACACACACAAACCTCCTTTCACAATGTAGGTCATTTCATATCTCATACTCTCAATAAGGACAATAACATGCAAATCAAATTCGTGACATATGAAAGGTACTCCGTATTTTTCCATTTATCCATAATTGTTTTTCGCTGCTAAATTAATTCTCTGAATTTCAAATGTAGCACATTTTTAAAGGTTTGATTCTGAGTGGATCATGACTCGGCGGTTTCCTTCTGGAGAATTCCTTTTCGTGGCCAATTTCAGTCTCCGAGCCCCAGAAGCCACAGCTAACATTGAACTTGCTGGTTGAGCTTTTTTACATCCAGGTAGTGATATGTCATAAATACAGCATATTTATCAGCATACCTACTAGGAATCCAAGGCTTCCAAATACAGATGAAGGAGCAGAGAACCTAAAGTCAGGCCTTGAAGAGGCTTACACAAAAATATAACTACCAGAAAACCAAGTAGGCCACTTAAAAACTATTCCAGACAAATCAAAGGGTTCCCTCTGTCCATTTAAAAGAATGTGGTCCTCACCTGTACCAACACCAGTGCAGTGATCAATAACTCAAGATGAATGCTGCTAATGCCGGGCTGTGTGACCGTTCCCAACGCAGAGCTGGAGAAAAACTACGAGGACAACCAGAAGAAGTTGGAGGGGAAAGCTCGCCAGCTGGACGGCCTGGAGGACCAGATGAAAGCCATCCTCAGCGGCATCAACAAACAGATCCAGATCTACAACACATGCCAGTAACTCCTAGCAAACAGGTGCCCCGACGTCTTGGTCCGCCGTCGGGTGCAGACACTGTGACTGTGCCAGAGACTTAGACGGAACATTATGAGAAGACTTGCCCTGAGTGCTGATCTCATCTCTCTGAAAGTACATGTATGTACATACACATACACATACATATATATATATATATATGTATATGTATGTGTGTGTGTGTGTGTGTGTGTGTGGGGGGGGGGGGTATATAAACAAACCCACAACTGATTTGAAAAGGATGTTTGGTATCAAATATTTTATTGGGATTTTATGTGCACGTTATTTTTGTTTTGCATTTTCAAAATAATCTGGAAATTTGTTTTTTGAACATAAAAGTTGTATTTTAGAATACATCAGTAATACTCAGAATTGGGTGAAAATAAGGCTTTGGAAATGATCGCCAGAGTATTCAGTATTAAACACAGTGACCTTTGACACCATAAATTCAGATCTGTTAAAATTAAACTTTAACTACTTTTCTTGGTTAAAAAGAAAAATCACACAAGAAATGGTGATATCATGATTTTTTATGTTTTCAAATAGGCCCAAAACATGGAGACACAAGGATAGTCACCACTGCTGTAGATCCTTGTCCCCAAGTAGTTCTAAGGACATCCCTTTTTAGTAGAATGCAGAGATTGAACAGTGATTGCATTCATATGGATTTACATGTATTATTACCAACTGTAGTGCCAGAATGCCATTTTTCTATTGCGTCTGCATTCATACAAATGACCATTTTCACGGTAAAAGAAAATCTACTTCTAGACTCTGCTAAGCCAAAAAGACATAACAACCTCAGAAGCTGCATTTGCCTAAGAGGATGGATGTGCACCATCACTGTACAGGAACAATGTAATCATGAGAGCACTGTAAGCGCCAGTAATGTTGTTATTAGTCGGTCTCTCTTTGTTGAGGGAACCACCCTCAGGACACACCCCTTTTTTAAACGCCTTATTCTTTATTTTTCACACGTACATAGCCTAGGGCTATGAGATTCACACTGCACTTCCACTAGTCCACCACAACACACAACTATGGTTTACATTTTACAATATCTACCGAGGACTTTTAGCCCACAATTCAGCTCATTTTCTAGGGGATAACCCGGCAAACTCACGGCCACCTCCATATCAGGAAAACGACAATCAACCTGTGGGCAGTGCATTCAAACCTGCGAATGAAAACACTTGTTGGCCCGTAGCGAAAAATGTAAACAGAATGAACTTTTTGGAAAAAATGCACATCAAGTACAGTCCAGGGAACAAAATGTTTTTTTCTACGCAGTTGCTTGGAGGCCAATAGGTGACACTCCCCCACTGCTGCCCGACCCTGCGCCTTATTACCACAGCGTCTGATCTGGGATAAACGCAGCCTCAGTGCAGTCTAAAATGTATCACAAGGTCATTTTGAGAAACATCCTTATTTACTCTTTTGCAGAGAGTTAGATTGAAAGGATTGATACAACAATATAGGATGAATATGATGCTACCACCATCAGGCTGGTAGCTTAGCTTAGCTTAGGGTAGAGTAAATAGTAAGGGCGAGCCAGCTAGCCTTGGCTCTATCCTAGAGGTATCTCTGCAAAAAACACACACCCTAACCCCTCAGCTAAATCTGAACGAGAAGGAAAATAAGTGACATTTGCAGAATCTTCTACTACTAAATGCCTTGTGGTGCACAGATTGTGTTTAATAGTGCCTTATTGTATGCAATTGTCCTGGACATTTACCTCATATACTAATTGCATGACATTTTATTGAACATAGTAAACCCAAAGACTAAATGTGTGCCCACATTTTCCTCAGTTCATCTATCACCTCGCAGCCACATGATTTTAAGAAATACACGCCAAAGCAAAAGTACCAAGAAGAAGAAGAAGCTTGTGTAAAGTTTAACATTGTACAGTTTTGTGAATAAAGGTTGGATAACTTAACATTCCTCTGTGTGGAAGTTACTAATTTGAGCATCATATTACTGTATATCCATACTTGACACTATTAGCTCAATGTATTTTTGTGCATGCGTTCACACACCAGGGTCTGCCAGAGGCGAGATGTCCTGTTTCTAATTTGACCTTTTGCAGGGATCTTATTGAGTGTTGTCATGAGTCCTTTATGCACCCTTTGTCAAAAGCCGTGCCCAGTGACGTCTGATCCGTGCACACGTCAGGATTAACAGCACACAGCAGCCCTAATACACAGTTACCAGAGAGGAAATGGCAGATCAAAGAGAGAGACAGTAGAGACAAGTACAGGAGCTAGATTAGAATGAAGGGAGAACAGAGCGACACTTTGGTCGTATCGGGTTTGGCTATAAAATCTTGTCTTGTTAAATTGGTCAGTGTCTTGTTGATGGTTGGAGGTTCGGGTTATATCATCTTTGGATTTTAGATTAATACAAATTTAGCAAAATTTCTACATCTTAATGATTGGGTGATAATGATAAATCCGCTGTGTAAACATGAACACCTTTAATGTAAATTGGGTTCGTTTTTTTGCGCAATATTAACTTGACAATGATGAAGCCAGAGATAAAGAACATTATATATAAGTAAATCGAGTGCAATCTACTCTCTTTTGATACAAAATATGAACTGTTATTCAGTGGCATGTTTGAAATTTGATTTTAAATGTTGTTTTCAATTAGGCATCAGTGCGGTGATGACTTCTGGGATGCTCTTTGCGTGGGGTCAACCGCTCTGCATCATCGCTGTTGATATCATTGTAGCACAAACTCACAGGATGACGCTGGGCCCGGGGTGCCCGTTGGGACGTGGCCGCTGTCTAAAAATAGCAGGTGTCTTGATGTTTTATGGCCCTGCGGGACCTCTGCTCTGAGGGTTTAAACAAATGTCTTTGGCCACACAGGCCAATATAAATAGCCAGTTCATCCTGGACAGAGCTCCAACACCACAACCAGTATCCCTACACTGCAATGGATTCCTGCCGAGGTTTGCTGTGCTGTTGTTATTTGCATTTAGATAAAAACTGTTATGATATATACGTTCCATACATCCTCCATTCTACTATTTACTGCGATTCGACTGATGGTCCCAAAAACAGCATAGGGACCCAAGATTAGGTAGCATGTAACAAACACAACATGTCAGTCGGTCATCTTCTATGCCACTTGTCCTTAGGTGGTGAATAAAACACACAAAATCAGACAATATTAATATATCTATTATACTGAAACAATTTTGACAAAAAAAGTAAAACATTATTTATAATGACCTCTCATGTTACGATGAAAGAGCCTAAAAACACGGTAAAATCGGAGGGTAAAGAACATTAAACAAATACCCTCAGTTATGAATCATATTTTTGTGACGTTGTCTGGGTGAAGTAACCTGTGGCAGCAAAGTGCTGTCCCATTCGCAGTTACACCATTTAAAGCCCTCCGAGACAGTTAAATCCCCGAGGATTCAAGGTTCGGGCTTTAGGGGAGTGTTGGGATTAGGCCACCGAGAGAGAGGTAAAGAAGATCTACAGATCACGTGATCGCGACAACCAGGAAGTGGCCTGCGCGCGCCCTCACTGCACGGATACTCAGGCTGCGGCGTAATGTGTTCCAAACAGAGAAGGAATCTTCCCGCAGAGGCCAAATAACAGCAGCAGACTGACAGTTTTTTATTGATATACGCCTTTTGTTTAAATCTCCTAAGATAAATAGTTAAAAGGTAACCAGAAATGGGCCCCGGGTGAAGGAAAGAAGCTTCCAGAAGCCTTGCGGGTGTTGGAGTGGAGGCAGGGGCGGAGCGGTCCGCGGCCGGGAAGGAGCTTAGCTGCCGGGAGAAGCAGAAGGAGTCTCCGGCCATTATTTTATAGGAACGGAATTCCATTCCCGCAAAATTGAAGCACCGTAAGTCCCCCGTTTAATGGCAACATCTATTTGCCATTAATGTGCAGCCTGCCGTTAGGTTCCACTGAATGTCATGCTGTGTTGTGTAAAATCTGGAACGATACTACAGCCCTTTTGTCATCCAGCGTTAGCTTGATGTGGCTAATGACGTTAGCTTCTAAAAGACTCGGAGCGTTGGATTCTATGACCCGTCCGGCGCTGTGTTGAATGGTTGTGATGCTCGAACTAATGAAAGAGCGTTCAAATACGGATGTTGTAGTTATTGTTGGAGGTCATTTGCAATCCGTAAATCTAGAGGGCCGTTTTACTTTAAATGTTGTAACAATTATATAACGTTATTTTAATACAATGCGCTGCCCAAAAACTGTTGCCCCGCACTCCTTAATGTCGAACAAGTACATTAAATAAACCAACTTTTGAATGCTTCTCGATTAAAGATAACTGGCATGTTGCGATTAATGGGGTTGGTAAAACCCTGATACCCTTGTAGAAATCGCCTGACCCTTAAGTTACTTCAGCGCTGCAGGCAAACGCATCAACACGTTAAGACTTCCACGGACACGCACATGACCGGCCGAAACGCGCGTGCCTTGAAATAAACGAACCTCTGCAGCTGTCTGGCTAGCGTACCAGTTATACCGAGCTAACAACTCCTTGAGCCCGCTAGCTGGTTTATTGAGCACGGCCCGTGTCATTAGTAAATGCGCTGTGCGGGAGGCCGGAGAAGGTTGTCCGGCTTAGCTGCTGTCCTTTGTTTGTCATTTGAATGTCCACGTTAGCAACTTGCTGTTGCTATGCTAAGGAAACGAGACACCGCTCTCTGTCGGGATAGTTCGGCTAACTGACATGATGTTCCGCATGTGTGTCCTTTTGTAAGACACTATGTCCACTTCTCGTTCAATATTGTTGTATTTATTGTGTTAATTAGTTTTAAATGGTGAACCCTCTCTCTGCGAGCCGCGTGCGTGTTTGGCGTGCGCGTGTACAGACATAAATAAGGCAAATTGTTTTGCATCACCTTGTTAAAACGTGCAACTATTGATGTGGGCGTTACTACCCGTGTCTCTGCTCGAGCACTAAATGTCTCTCTGTCCTCCTGTCCTCTGCCTCAGCTCCCCGTCCCTAGGGTGCCTTCCTGATTCTGTTTGGGAGAGTTCAGACCAGTATCATCGCCAAGATAGCCGGGCCGGGCAGGAAGCGGCACACCTCAGATCCAGACCCCAGCGGCGGTAGTGATTCCGGCGACGGGCGGCCCGTCAGTGCCAAGTGCCCGAAGATGGCGAGCAGCGGTGCAGCCGGTAACGGGTCGGTGGGCCGTCGCGGAGGAGCCCAGCAGAGAGGGGGCGGCGGCGGCAGGGACGGTGCCGACCTGCCCTCCAGTGCCAGCAAGAAGAAGCAGAAGGACCGGGCCAACCAGGAGAGCAGGGAGGCCAAGCGGGCGGCCGCTGCAGCAGCGGAGGGGGTTATTGCCGAAGTCAAGAAAGGTAAATTGGGACTAAAGCCTGGTTTATGCTTCTGCGTTTTCAGAGCGACGCACACGCAAGACCCCCTTGCGTGTCCCTTGCGTCGCTTTTCACACCTCCTTGCGTCCTTGCGTGTGTCGACCCACTTTTCTAGGCTTGCGTCGAAAGGCAAGCCTCCCGCAGCGCACCAGGCTGCGATTGGTCCGCTAACTACGTCCTTTGCGGAGTCTCACATTTCCGCCTTCATAGCCCGATACCGCCGTTATTAAAACAAAGAATGTTTACGAGAGAACGGATCAGATTTAAGAACTTTTGTCGGAAGAAATGCGCAAATATGACCGCTTCTACAAGCCGTCATTGGCGGGTTGTAGAAGCGGGTTGGATTCACGGAGGGAGATCTCCACAAACGCCGGTTTGCCGGTAGTGGCGATGCACGGGGCAATAAAGTCTATGATAAATAAATAAATAAACAAATAAATAAACAAATAGACGTGACTCTCTAGGTCGTCTTCAACAAAACACGTTACTCCGCATGTTGTTCTGGCGGTGAATTGCTCTGCAACACACGCAGAACCATGAATTGAAACGAGTGCAACGACGCAGACGCAAACGCAGAATGCTCCAGCCTTAACAGTGCATTGTTTACTTCTTATGCTACTGGGATTAGCTTGGTACTAATGACAAGTGTTGTGCAACGTACAAAGTGGTCAAAATATCCACCGTGTGACCATTAGTAGTGCTACGTAGCAGAGTAGGCATCATGCATAAAATCGCAATTCATCTTGCAGATCTTTTTTTTTAATTTTTATTTGCACACTTTATTGCAAACTGAATATAATGAGCTTTTTTTAGTGTTGTGCATAGTGTTCTAAACAAGCATTTAGTTTTCACTGGCTGCAAACCCTACAATTTGTCCTCATTATCTGTACAAGACAGTTAGGAGACAGTTATTACGGCTGCACAGTGCAGAACTTAGTCACATTATTATAATTCCATTTATTATGCAGCATTTTTTCTTGTTTCTTTGATTTTCTGGTGGGATCACCAATGAGTGAATTAAAAAGCCTCTTGTGTAGAGGGGGATGTTATCCTACGGTTTTTAATTTCATTCATTTTGTTGCAGCTCATACTGCTGTTTGAAGGCTTTTTTTATGAGCCGATTTCTTACTATTGCGGTGTGTGTGTGTGTGTGTGTGTGTCTTGAAGAATTTTTCTGTCTGCATTTTATTGAAACATGTAGATGTGGATTGCGGCTTCCCGTGCACAGGACCCAATGTTTAACATAAAGAACATTTTGTGCTTCCTATACTTCTACTGGTAGTCCTCGTTTTTTTAGATACACAATACATATGTTTTATAAAGCAAGTTATATTGAACAAATCTTGGTCCGCTGTGGGGAGGGTTCGCTGTGGGGAGGGTTCGCTGTCGGGAGGGTCCGCTGTCGGGAGGGTATCGGCCAGGTGATGAGCAGTGCCTGGTTTCCTCCAGACGTTTCTCGTGGTCCGAGATTCCTTCAAGAGCCTTCTGGCAAACTCCATGCGGGCTGCCATGTGCTTTTTACTGAGGCGTGACTCTGGTCACTTTACCATACAGGCCTGATTTGATTTGAGTGCTGCAGAGATGGCTGTCCTTGTGGCAGGTTCTGCTCTTTTCATAGAGCATGACTGGAGCTCTGTCAGGGTGACCCTCGGCTTCTTGGTCACCTCTTCTCCCCGATCGCTCGGTTTGGCTGGTGACTCGTTAGAATTCTGTCTAGGAGTTCTACAGACGTATTGCACTGACGTTGTTCCTCAAAGGCCAGCCTAAATACGTAGTAATATGACACGGTCAGCACCCAAGCTTAAATAATGGATCCCATGTTAATGGTGCTCACCGCATTTTTGATTCCTTGCAATTTGGGTTTTCACCTCATTTGGTACATAACAAATCATCGATGTTAGTCATGAGAGCATGCCGGGGGGGGGTGCTCTCTCTAGAAATGCACCCGTCACCAGCTGTGAGGGATTGGGTGTTGCTTTTGACCTTTCTAGAAGGGCTGCGTGTGAGAGAGGGGAGGAGCGGAGGCGCAGTGAAGAGGTGAAGGTCCATAGTGAGTGAGATCTGCGCTTTACTTCTTTGCCAGCCGTGGATCAAGTGATCGCTGTGTTTCTGGGATGATATATATATTTTCTCAATCATTGCTTGGACTTGGAGGTCACCATGAAAAGGGGTACGTGTTTGTTCTGATTTTTCACCGTGGGATATTTTAGTAGTAATAGTTAATAGATTTCCGTCTCAATTCCCCCTGTGAAAAGTGTGTGTAGCACAGGAGCACGATTTCTAAAATAAGTCCATAATTTGCCTTCACGCCTTTTTGTTTTTGCTTAGAATGCAGTTTGTGTGGCGCAGACAATTTTAGACGTCCCGTCTGATTGCTCACTGTACTGTCTGACCCGCTCAAGCATTTGAGTGAGACGGGTGAGACGAGTGAGAATTTGCTAGCAGGTGCAATTCAACGTGTGTCTATATTCTGTCAAGGAAGAAGAGATCCAGTATGTTCCAAATGCTTTATCTCCTATTAGATTATCAGAAATGGATTCCAATGATGACCGGCGACAGGAGTAAAGCAGGTTGAGTAAGTGTCTGTTCCTTTGTGTTTTACAGACGTGTTTGTGGACTGGAAACAGAATGTGAATGAAGTGACTGTCAGACTGCGCTGTGGGGACGGCGTGCTGAGGATAGAGGATATCAACACAACCTTCACTGATACGCACTGCCACGTGCGCTTCCCTGGTAGGTCCTCGAGAACAGACTGTGTGTGTGTGTGTTTTCTGCAATTTTACAATTTGCATAGTCCTCTAATAACGTCTTGATGTGTATTTGCATTGTCCAGATGGACGGCAGTGGAGCTGCCATTTGCAGGAGGAAATCGAGGCGTCATGTAGCCGAGTCCAGCACAAGGAGAAGGGAGGCTTCCTGCATGTCATCATGCAGAAGAAGATTCCCTTCCACATCTGGCCTTCGCTTAAGGTGAGTCACGTCGGATAACATGTTTTTTTTTTTTCTTGCGTACTGGTACTTGTGTATTTCTATTTCTATCTACCTTGATAGCTGTGGCCGTTTGCTGTTGTTTTGAGTGACATCTCCGTGGTATTCCCACTGTAAATGTATTCTCCAGCTCACTGTCCTTCTCCTTTCTGGTTTTCAGTCCAACAAGAAGGAAAAGGAGGCAGCACCCACAGAGAACAACAAGGACACGCAGGAGGAGGTGAAGCTCGTTTCTTTGGAGCCAACAGAGAAACCCAAACTCCAGCCTCCCTCCTCACCTGCACCCGTCGAGTCCAGACGCGGCGGCAAGGTCGAGCGGGGTGTCAAGCGTGGCCTGAAAAGCAAACCGGCGTTCGACAAGGTAGCCAAAGACTCTGTTGGGGTGAAAGATGGAGCTAAAGAGGGCTCAACTTCCACCGGCAAGCCTGGAGCCACGCAAGGCGAACCTCAGGAACCCAGCGCCAAGCGTACCGTCGCACAGCTGCCCACCGCCGCCGGGGAGGCCACGCCCCCAGCCGCCGGGGACACATGCTCTGCCAAGTCGGCAGCCGGTGGGAAAGCTCCACACAAACACCTGCCCGCTGGTCAGAGCCCGGCGACACGACGCAGAGATGGAGACATCCGAGCGGAGAGACTCGGAGGCGGCCAGGGACACGCGCTAGGAGCCGCTGGTGGCAGGCACGCCAACGGAACTGAGGTGGGCGGAGCCGAGACACATCGCTTGCTCATCTGAACACTACAGCTGTGTGTCTTTCATTTATAAATGACCTTTTTTTTTCTCGGACTCTCCTCATTACCTGAATACTATCCATTCCAAGCACTCGACTAGGCAAGCATCCAGTTCACATTTTGAGATGGAACCTTTTGTACTTTTCTAGTTCAGGTTTTCTATTGATTACTTGAGTGACATGAGATTTTATTGTGTTTCCTTCTAAAGCAAACATCAGCACAATAACACCAGCTGTTTGTCAAAAATGTCGTTATGTACCAACTACAATTCACGGATCAGCAAAAGGGAGCAAATGGAAGTTTCCAGGATCACAATTATTTTCCCGCCTATATAAAGATCATCAATGATTCATATTGGCAGATACGGATCCCGTTTGGGTTGTTATTACTCCTTTTATACTCCTTTTTTACCACCGTCCCAAAAATAGTTTCAACCACTCAATGTCAGTTAAACATGTTTTACCCCATTAAAAACAGCCAATTCAAATGATTTAATAAATAAAAGATTGTATTCTCATTAGTAGTCTTTAATGATACATATAACTTGTTGATAGCAGTGCAGACATGCAGGAACCGAAATGACATGCCATCATGTAAATATGATAAATACCATGAGGGTTTGTATTTAGTTTGTCTAAAAAAAGAATAACTTGCTCTGTGGGATCAGGGGTCTAATTTCTTGCGTTTTTTCCTGATTCAGGTGGCAGAGAAGCCGGACTGGTTTGGAGCAACGGCACGCGGCAGCGACGGCAAACCAGAGGATCCGATCAGCAACACCGATCGCCTCGAACCGGTCGGCCCCAACGGCCAAGTTGGCCTCGCCGCTTCTCCGGAGACACGGGGAGGGAGACCGGACTCCGGGCCGGAGGAGAAGCCCTCGCAGCAGGAAGCGGAGCAGGATACTTCCACCTGCCAGCAGCTTGAATCCAGAGATGACGGTTCAACGGCAGCTGCTGGCGAGGCTGCCGTACCAAGCTGGTCACCTGGTGCTGCTCAGAGGCAGGGCAGCTGTGACGGAGAGGAGAAGCAGGACCAGTCCAAGGAGGAGCCTCCTTTGGAACTGAAACAACAGGAAGGTTAGTTGAGAAGGTCTCAGGATGCAACGGGCCTATCATTTGATCTATTCATGTCGAGTCTTTGCACCTCTACGTTGTCACAAAGTCTGAAGTATATACACGTTCTGTGGATAGAGGTTTGTTGCTAATCAGCTTTTCAGCACTGTTGATAAGTGTAATTACTTCCTGCAGCCCCAGAGCCGATGGTTAACTTGCAGATTGTGAAGTACGACTCGTACGAGAAGGGCACCGACCTGATGGTGGTCAATGTTTACACAAAGGAGATCTGCAGGGACACGGCGAGAGTCATCTTCAGGGAACAAGACTTCACTCTCATCTTTCAGACAAGGTAGCAAATGGGAATATGCCACCACCAGAGAGCTGTAGGAGTGGCATCTGGGTTCAACAGTAACCAGTGAACGATCTCCGTCTGTGTCATCCTTTCACAGTGACACTAACTTTCTGCGGCTTCATTCAGACTGTGGACCCAACACGGTCTTCAAGTGGCAAGTGAAACTCAGGTAATTGTTGCAGTCACCGTTGTCAGTGTGTTTTCGTTTTCCTGTGAAGTCACGGTGCCAAAGGGCGAGCGCCGCATCCGGTCAAATACATGACTTTGATAATGTGCTACTTTGTGGCCGAAAACCTCAAATGGAATCCCATTTCAGTAAAATTAACCCCAAATGAATAAAGAGATACTGATGTGGTGGTTCACTTCAGCACTGTAATCTTAAGGCTTTAGCTTTTATCTTTTTATATTTTAACCTGTTTTTACAGTTGAATCTGACATTCCCAGTGTATCCTTTTTTGCCTGTTTCTCCCTTCATAGTTAAACTTATTAAAAAACAAAAAACTCTGAGCTTGTGAACTCTGAAACTGTGAGTTAACTCTAAGCGTCTCCCTTCTGTGCGCCAGGAACCTGATCGAGCCCGAGCAGTGCAACTACTCCTTCACCCCGTCCCGACTCGACATCACCCTGAAGAAAAGGCACAGCCAGCGCTGGGGGGGCCTGGAGGCCTCCGCCCCACAAGGTCTGCTGCCAGGCTTCTACTTGTTAACAATGGTTTTACGCCGTTTTAGATTTTTGTTAATGTTGCAAGTGTCGCGGAATTTGATTCTCTTGTTTTCTAATGTCGATCACAAACATGAATTTAATGGCATGTCGTCCGAAACTCCACACACAGTATGTACACCTAGACATATAAACCTTGTGGGAGTGCAGAAGATTGCAGAAACACTTTTAAATAAAGTTCTTTGGGTAAGAGTTACTTAACTGGCTCCTATTTTGCTTGGCTGCTTATTTGCATAATGTACTTATCTTGTTACGTTTTTTATCTTCATTGTAGAGGGCGCTTTTAGTTCTAATATGATTTTGCATAGTTTAATGCAAAATAATACAACATATTTAACGTCTGAGTCTGAAATGTAACAAGTACATTAATGCAAATATATTTTCCTGTTAAGCAGAAGCACACCATAATTAGTAGCCAGGTTGTTTATCTTTGATGTGCATTTTTTAAAGTTATATCAGGCTACGATGAGTTAGACTACAAACATAACTCAATATTTTTTTTCTAAAAGGTACAGTTTAATTATAAATAATTTCCAGTTCTGTCCAGTTGTGTGTTAAAGACCTTCGTCTTCTATACACAAGCCCCATTCTCCTCTGTTCAAGGTGCAGTGGGTGGCGCCAAGGTCGCTGTGCCCTCTGGTCCGTCCTGCATGGAGAAGAGCCAGCCGGGCGGCAGCCAGCACAGCCTGCCAGCCAAGGAGGAGCCCCCGAGGGTCGGGGAGGAGAAACCCAAGCCGCCTAAGGCCTCATCCAGAGTGGACGACTGTGGTCTGGACACAGTGGCTCCTCGCAGCGAGCACGTCGCTATCACCAAGCCGGACCCCATGGTGAGCAGAAAGATGTTCCAATAGTTGTTCTAACAAAACGCATTTAAATGCTGAAATGATGAAACGAGCCTGTCCTTTCTCAGCCTAAACCAACCTGCATGGTGCAGCCCATGAGCCATGCACCGCCTGCCAGCAACGAGCGCCATGAAGAAGAGGAGGAGAAGAAGGTGTGCCTGCCTGGTTTTACAGGATTGGTAAACCTCGGCAACACGTGCTTCATGAACAGTGTCATCCAGTCCCTGTCCAACACCAGAGAACTCAGGGATTACTTTCACGGTGAATAGCATGTGCTTTGTTTGAGGCTGATCTTACTATAACCCATAATAATAATACTAATAATGCTACATTCTACTGTTCAATGACATTCAGATTTTTCAATTTTTGTTTGTTGTTGACCAGACACATTGTATACACTGGGACACATTTAATCTGTTCCTGCTATGGACTCATTTAAAACCGGGAAATAATTGCCTCCAAATAATTATATAATTTTATATATATATATATATATCTATATATATATATATATATATATATATATATATATATATATATATATATATATATAAATCAATCTCATGGATGTTTGTGTGCCGGCAGATCGAGGATTCGAGGCAGAAATCAACTGCAATAATCCGCTGGGAACAGGAGGCCGGCTGGCCATTGGCTTCGCTGTGCTGCTCAGGGCTCTTTGGAAAGGAACACATCATGCCTTCCAACCCTCAAAACTCAAGGTACGCTACCAGCACCATGAGCGTTTTCACAGGAAATACTTACCAAATGTCTCTTATTTGCTGCAATTGCCAAGAAGGGTTTTACCTGTTGGAGTTGTTGAATTCTGTATTTTTTGGTTGGTTGGTTTAATTGCCCCTCTCCTTCTGTTGCTTGTTTGCAACCGTGCAGGCGATCGTGGCCAGTAAAGCCAGTCAGTTCACAGGTTACGCCCAGCACGACGCCCAGGAGTTCATGGCTTTCTTGTTAGACGGGCTCCACGAGGACTTGAACCGCATCCAGAACAAACCTTACACGGAGACCGTGGACTCTGACGGGCGGCTCGATGAGGTGCGAGTTCTTCCTTCCTGCGTCTTTCTATTGAAATGAGAAACTTTGGCGCAATGTGGTGGTGCCTTGGCCTGATGATGTTTGTGGCTGCAGGTGGTGTCTGAGGAGGCATGGCAGAGGCACAAGATGAGAAACGATTCCTTTATAGTGGACCTCTTTCAAGGCCAGTTCAAATCCAAGCTTGTCTGCCCCACGTGCTCCAAGGTAACATGAGCGTTCCACAGAAACGTTTTACTTCCCTAAAAAGTCCATGCTCTGACATGTTGGCCTTGTTTTAGTGATGGCTGACCTACTTTCTTTCACTTCCTCAGGTGTCAATCACCTTTGACCCTTTCCTCTACCTGCCCGTGCCCTTGCCCCAAAAACAAAAGGTGCTCTCTGTTTTCTACTTTGCCAAGGAGCCTCATAAAAAACCTGTCAAGGTGAGAGGAAGCGAGCAAATTGAACTGCTCACACGGTCAATTAACTACGCTCTCTTTTAAGCTTTGTGTATTTGTGTCTCAGTTTTTAGTAAGTGTGAGCAAGGAGAACTCGAGCACTGCCGAAGTCCTGGATTCCATCTCCAGGAACGTCAGGGTCAGACCAGAGAACCTCCGACTGGCAGAGGTTGGTCAGGATCTGCTTTTCTCTTTCAGGAATCAGGAAACATTTATTGCCAAAATACGTCAAACATACAAGGAATTTGTCTTGGCGGTTGGTGCGTGACAGTAGACACATGTTTACCAAGTCATCGTAGAGGCTTTTACGAATGACTCGTGTCATTATTCTCAATTGTGAAGATGATGTTGTGGCTGGCTAAACAGCTGCGGTCGTTAATAGTATTCTACTATTTGTAGGATAAACCTTGTTTGTTCAAAAATTGAATAGAATCCTGACAGATTTAGAGCCATGACGAGCAGTGGTGGTCGTTGATTACTGTGCACTGGCTGAACTGGGATCATTAGAGACACTTGATGACAGACCTGCGCTGGTTCCTCTCCCCTCAGGTGGGGAAGAACCGTTTCCAGCGCCTCTTCCTGCCGTCCCATTCCCTGGACATGGTGTCTTCCTCCGACATGTTGTTCTGCTTTGAGGTGCTTTCCAAAGACATGGCCAAAGAGAGAGTGGTGTTGCTCCGGGTGCAGCAGGTAACTCGGCAAAGTCCTCATTTTATATTTCTGCTGCGTATTGATAAACACGTCAGTGTTTCACATATTGAGGGGAGTGTATTTGCCCTGTGCTTTGCCCCCTGCAGAGACTTCAGGTCCCAAATATTCCCATCTCAAAGTGTGCCGCCTGCCAGAAGCCTTCCCCATCTGAGGAAGACAAGCTGAAGCGTTGCACTCGCTGCTACCGCGTGGGCTACTGCAACCAGTGAGTCCACGTAGCAAAACGTGATGATAAGATAGTCGCCAACCTGTTGGTTATTGTTACAATCAATGCACATTAAGCTTCTGTCGCTTCCCTTTCTGCAATTGCATCCATAAGCTTTTCTCTAAACCCACCCCCCCCCCCCCCCCCCCCCTCCCCAGGGTGTGTCAGAAGACCCACTGGCCCAATCATAAGGGTCTGTGTCGGCCCAACGCGGAGAACGTGGGCCTGCCCTTCCTGGTCAGCGTGCCCGAGTCCCGGCTCTCCTATTCCCGTATCACCCAGCTACTCGAGGGTTACTCCAGGTAGGACCGCAGTCCTCGGTGCTCACCGTCATTGAGCATGTGGGATTGTCAGGGTGTGAGGAGAGGCCAACAACGTTACTGAATCCATATCTAAACATGGTTACATCGGTTATTTTTTCTTTTACTTTGTCCATCTCACACTAAAGCGGAAGTGGAAGCAAAGTCTTTAATCAGATTTCAACAAAAGCTACTTTAATTTTTCTGCAGTTAAAACAAATATTCTAGCGATGCTTCGATCACCAGTTGATAATGGTGGTGATCTTTTATATATGCATTAGGGGTGTAACGATTAATTCACTGAATCGATTAATCGATTTATATTCCTGCGATCCAAATGAATCAATCTGTGCTCCGCAAATCGGCATTCCGGACGTCATATATCGATTACAAATCGATTGAAATGGTACATAATCGATTGTATCGATACTTGGAAACTGCACATTGGATTTAAGTACAAAAACGGCATGGATGTGTGTGTGTTTGTTTTTTATCACTTTAGACACGTTAAACGTTACTCGATACAGTCTGCCTGTCTGTGACGTCATCAGTACGCAGCGGCAGCCGCGCGAAACTCTGAACAACAACAAAACACAGCGTCTGCGCGCGAGACATTTACAAACTAACTTATCGATCCAGCGCGTGGAAACATTTTGGCTTTTGGAAACACGGAGGTGTTCTAAATAAGTCGGTCGCTGTTTGTAGAATATGTAGAAGACAAATAAAAAACACGGAAACACAACGAATCTTTCCGGCCATCTACTAAGGCGCCGTGGGATTAAACAACGCCGACAGTCAGGACCTCTAGCAGCGTCACCGCTGCAGCAGCAGCAGGTAACTCCAGCTCTGCAGACACCTCAGGCCTCACCAGCACCAAACTCAACATCACAGTAACAATTGCCAAGTTTATCTGTAAAGACATGCGACCCTACAATGTGGTTGAAAATCCGGGGTTCTGTAAATTGATCCAAACATTGTTTAACTATTGTGTAATGTTTACATTGAAAATGGCACTTGATTCAAATAAAAGGTTAATACATTTGCCATTAATTGTTGTTTACTTGTTTATAATATCCCTAATTAATTTAAACCTGATTTCCTTACAAGAAACAACAGGGATCTCAGAAACTTTGCCTGCACTGTCCGGTAAAGTTACTGAATCGAATCGAATCGTTCTAAATGAACCCAGATCGTCCATGAATCGAATCGCAACCATGAATCGCGATTCAAATCGAATCGTTGTTAAAATGAATCGTTACACCCCTAATATGCATGCAAGTTCATATTCAATATTAGATAAATATGAGCTATCATAGTGACGTGGGATTAGTCTGATTTTGGTCTCCACAAAGATCATTGCAGTTTGTATGAGAAAGTTGGTAACGACAGAATGAAACATTGGCACATTAGTTTGTATGAGCCATATTACATGCACTTCTTTCTTATGTTCTATACTGACAAAAACGTGGTTGCTGAAGCCTCTGATCATGTAGACAAAACAAGGTACATTACACTTCGAACTTACACTGTTTTGTCTTCTTGGTTCGAGCTGAAGACTGATTTTTAAACTATCATTTTCTAAGCATACAAGATTATGACTTGCCTGATGGCAAATCATTAGAGAACATGAATTGCATTTCTCTACTAGTATATTCAATAGTTATATGAAAATGTAGTGAACCTCCCCAACTCTCTGTCTCTGTGCAGGTTTTCTGTCAATGTGTTCCAGCCTCCTTTCCAGTCAGGCAGGGCATCCCCAGAAACATCCCAGTGCCGGGGAGACCACCCGCCAATGGCAGCAGGCCCTCCTGAGGGTCTCGGGCCAGGGGGTGAGGCCATGGCTGGTGGTAATACCTGTGCGGTGGGGGATATGGAGAGTCCCTCTCTATTGCCTGAATCCCAAGCCGAGTGTCCTCAAGCCTCTGCCCTCCCCTCCGGGGACTCGAATTCCCTCTCCTCCTCCCAAACGTCGCTCTCCACCACGCAAACTGCAGATTCTGGATTTTCTGCGCCAGTCTCTTCCACCTCCTGCTGCTCTCTGGACCCTCATGCTGAAAAGGAGACGTCCTGTGAGAAGGCAGTGCGACCGGAAGGTAATGTCCGATCTACTATTGGACGGAGGCTTCAGTTGTTTGTGGCTCTTCTTTCATTGGCTCTCCATCCCTTTACTCCTTCTTCCTCTTCTTCTTGTCGCTTCATTGCAGCTGCAGTAACTGGGTATCAGCATCCCAGTGAATCAGCATCAGGTCACGCCAGTCAGTTTTACATCGCTCTGCTGGACTCTGACAACAAGGAGCAGAGGCTGGATGAGAGAGGTATGCACTGATGTCCAGTGGGATTCCTTCTCCTGTTGGCATGCTTAAAGTTGTGTGCTCGTTTTGACTGTTTAGTTTTTGTTGATCTGATGTACATGTCATTTAGGTGACACTTTTATCCAAAGCGACTTACAATGAGTGTATTTCAACCATAAGGACACAAATCCAGCAGAACAAGAAACAAAGTGCAATGTCATCAAATAAGCCAATTCACAACTTGCTATAGATAAGAGCCATTATAAGTACAATTTAAGTGCTACAATTTGTTTTGTGTTTTTTAGTGGAGGTAGAGTCTGAAGAGGTGTGTCTTTAGTTTGCGGCGGAAGATGTGAAGGCTCTCTGCGGTCCTGGTGTCTTCAGGGAGCTCGTTCCACCATTTCGGCGCAAGGACAGCAAAGAGTCGTGATCTAGTCGAGTGTTTTGCTCTCAGTGAGGGAGGGACGAGCAGTTTAGCAGATGCAGAGCGGAGAGTGCGGGTCGGGATGTCGGGTTTGACCATGTCCTGGATGTAAGCTGGACCCGATCCATTCACAGCTTAGTACGTGAGCACCAATGTTTAGAACTGGATGCGGGCGGCCACCGGCAGCCAGTGAAGAGAGCGGAGGAGTGGAGGAGTGTGGGAGAATTTAGAAGGTTAAAGACCAGTCGAGCTGCTGCATTCTGCTGCAGAGGTGGAATGGCGGCAGCAGGGAGACCTGCCAGGAGCGAGTTACAATAGTCAAATACTTTAGTTGGGTGTGTACTCCACTCTAACAAAATACATAACTCGATAGGCTACAAGCTTCTTTACTGTGGGTGAGGCAAGTCAATAGTATCTAGCAAAAGCCAACAGTTTTACTGTAGTGACTTCAGAACCCGAGTGATGTCATCCTCTGTCTTGGTCTTAGTGAGCAGCAGCATTATGAATCAGCTGCAGCCGTCTAATTCAAACTTTTAAAGACTCTGTTACGGTAGTTAAGTCAAAATAATATCAATGCCCGCTGAAGGTTTTAAAACCTGCTGAGACATGAGTCATTTTTTAATATTTTTGAGGACTGACCTGTGTGACTTAAAAATATTTGGTTTGGTCTGAGGTTTTCAACATTGTCGATTCAAGCAGACTTTCACACACATTTCCTTCTTGGATCAAAAACAACTTGGACAGTTTTTCCATTGCTAAATTGAAAAGGATTTAGTTTAATGCACCTACCCAATTTTGTATCAGACAGTCCTCTGGTGATTAGGGCTGTAAAAATTGACGTTCGAATATTCGCTTTAATAAAACAGATATTCGAATATCTGGTTGCGCATTAGGCTCATCAATAACATTACAAATTAATACAACGAGACATAACTACTTGTATAGGGAATTTATTAAAGTGTAAGTTTAACGACGTATTACCTACACAAAAATAAGTAAATTAAATAACGGCCGCAGATCTCTCTCTCTCCCTCCCGCTCCGCCGCGCTCTCTGCGCAAAGCGGTTTAAAAGAACGACAACAATAAACAAATGCCGAGTGCTGAACAAGAGTTTTGTGTAAGCAATTTAAGGTTGCGATTCTTGTCCCAAATATGAGGCGGAGATGATGAGCATGAAGCAGTAACTCATGGAAACTCCCCCTATCATATTGGTTCAATGAGATATATAGGGACCTGATACTTAAGGGCACTTACGGAAAGACATAAAGTCCATCCCAGCAGCACACTGGTTTTCTCCATCTCTTCTCCTCACCAATCGACAGAGGACCTTCTGGCCGACCTCCCCGAAGACACAAAGCTGGAGCTGGTGTGGAAGAACAACGAGCGTCTGAAGGAGTACGTCTTGGTGAGCTCCAAAGAGCTGGACTATGACGAGGACCCCGGCTCTCTGAGTGAGACAGCCAGAGCGGGACACTTCACCCTGGAGCAGTGCCTCAACCTCTTCACAAAGCCAGAGGTGCTGGCCCCAGAGGAGGCATGGTATGCAGCTTCATGAAGTGATTAGTATCCAAAAGAATGCACCTCATCATTGGGTTTGTTTCCCAATTGCAATCACGCCATGGGTTACTGTTTTAATATATTGAAATATTAATAATATATTAAAACAGTAACATTTTCTAAATGTTTTTGCCAGATGGACAAATGCAACTCTCTAAATAATAATTCAGATCCTCTCTACTGTTTTCTTCTGAAAATGACCTGAGCAGAGTCCTTCATAGTGTCAAGAGTATGAATCAACAGGAGGCAATGAGCCCTAAATAGGGACTGGTGACATAGCAGACAAGCTGGTAGCTGCTCATGAAGGGAGAGACTAGCAGAATCTACTATAGGACTCATCTTGATGTTACCACTGAAATGAACAGTTCATTTAAACAAGCGGTTACCCTCATGAACAAGTGTCATCCTAACTTCTTCCACCATAAGGGAACATTGCTTAAGTCGTGTCCCATCAATGCTCAGATATTAACAATACAATGATATGGAACAGATGTGCTGTTCTGCTCCTGTGTGTTTGCATGAATAACGAAGGAATAGATTGGTTTGGACACAGAAGCTTTTGTTGTGTTTTTTAGGTACTGTCCAAAGTGCCAGCAGCACCGAGAGGCCTCCAAACAGCTGCTGCTGTGGCGTCTGCCAAACGTTTTGATCATCCAGCTCAAACGCTTCTCCTTCAGAAGCTTCATCTGGAGAGATAAGATCAACGACATGGTTGACTTTCCGGTCAGGTAAATGCACAGTAAAGAAACCTGCAGCAGACCTCTTTTTTTAATTCACTTTAAAGGAACAGTGTAGGATTTAGTCTGGTGCAGATTCCACTAAATACCAGCAATGAACCATTAGAGGTATTTTATAGGGTTAGGGTTAGATATAGAACTTCTATATATTATGGTTTCTTAGTTGGAAGCACTCATCCTGAACAAGAGAGCATAGTGAACAATTATAATAAAAAACAACCAAAAGTATTAATGAAAAGCCCCAGTGACCGGGCTTATCATTAGAGCAATCTCTAATAGTTTATCACCGGAGCCCGTTTAATACCGGAACGTATCACAACTTTCAGTTCATTTATTTCTGATGTAAAAGTCTCTCTGTGGAGTCGGAGTCTGTTCTGCGCTGCTGTAGAAACGTGGCGGTGAAAGATGAGCAGCTCCCTGCGTAGATATAAATAGCTTTTTGTAAGCTAACGATAAACACTACCATTGTTAGTTTCACATCATTATTTAATAATGAAAACATTTTATTCTATTTCTTTCAATGAATCCCCCTAAATATTGAACACTGTTCCTATGATGTGAACAAATATGAAATTAAAATGAACATTCCTTAATCATTGTTCCTTAAAACCGTAGACCCTCATCTAGTACTTCCCAGATGTGCAGCACAGCCTCTCATATAATTCTGTCCTGTAGGAATCTGGATCTAAGTCAATTCTGTATCGGCCAGAAGGATGAGGAACAGATGCAGCAGCCCCCCATCTACGACTTGTATGCCGTCATCAACCACTACGGAGGAATGATCGGCGGCCACTACACCGCCTACGCTCGCCTGCCAAGCGACAAGAACAGCCAGCGCAGTGACGTTGGTGAGTCGAGGAGGCCGTTCCCACCTGGGCGTGTAGGTCCCACCAGACTCTGTCCCGTACTTTTCAGCCGCCCCGTCTCCAACCTCTTTTTCCTCTCCCACCCTCCGCCCCCCCCCATCCCACAGGCTGGCGTCTGTTTGACGACAGCACGGTGACCATGGTGGAGGAGAGTCAGGTGGTGACGCGCTACGCCTACGTCCTGTTCTACCGCCGGCGAAACTCCCCCGTGGAGAGGCCCCCGCGCTTCCTCAGGCCCGAGTCCCCCGCCTCTGCAGGAGCCACGGCCAGCCAGGTGAGGGGCCCATTGAAGGGCTTTCTTTTGCTTCCAATTCATCAGGTTACTAAAAGCAACACTGGTGCTTTATGATGCTCGCGTCACGTGAGGGAGTGTAGTCGAGGCTGGATTGGATTGGCTGGGGTTGAAGTGGTTCTGGAAAATAACACACAGTTGACGCAATGCAGGTGTTCCTCATCTGTGGAAATGGTATTACAGACAATGCAACACAGTCAAGCGAGGGTGTGCGAGTGTGTTTGTTGTACAAGATCAGGAGCTGATTTGTCAAATGGAAGTGTGAGTGTCAATGCAACAGAAACTCCAAAGTGTCATAGGGTTTGGGAAATCGATACGTTGTCTGCCACAAATCATGAATTAGCTGTATTTTGTGTCATTTTCTCTTTTTTTTTTTTTTTTTGAGTCGTAATGGATCGAACCTCCGCTTCTGTAGTCGCCTCGCTTGAGCTCGACAAAGCTTTGCTGTCAGGCAGTATTACTATCTTCAGACGTAATACTATCTTTGTCGCTTCAGCGGAGTGCAACACTGGTTTCTGTCCAGTTGGTGAGTGCGAGAGCTGCAAAAGGCCCTCAACATCTGCTGGTGCATTGGGAGTCGAGATGTTCCCTGGGAGGCAATTCATTCTCATTTTCTGCCTCTCTTAAGATGCACTTTAATTCCTGTATCCAGATGAGATCTAACCGATGCTGTGTGTTTTGATCATATGGGTTCATATGAGACACTGATTTTGACATGAGTCCATGTGATGTTCTGGGAGGCATCAGACCACGCTGGGCTGCAGTCCACACTCGATTCCATCCTTCCCGTGATGCCTCACGTCGGTAGGGCTGTCACGATATCAAATTTTTGTTGTGCGATTATTGCACCAACATTTATTGCGATATTATTGCAATTTTCAGACCATTTTATGCCACTGATAACATAATGACAATATAATAGCATAGTAATAAAAGTATGCTATTTCAAAGAACGTTTTATTTGTCAGAATAGTTCGACATTAGAATCAGAATGTGAAAAAATATATCCGATATAAATAATAAAAAAATAATGTGCAAGAGACACGGAGCGGGCGAAGCATCGGATGCGGCCGGGTTTGGTGCGATGCGGTCGGGTTTGACTAAATGTGTCCAGCGGAAAGGCGCCGCGGCAGCCGGGAGGTTTAACGCGGGACTTCGACCCCCGGCAGGGCGACGCGCTCCGCGGCTGGAGGGAGAGACGGAGCGGCCCGGCGCCGCTAACAACCGGCCGGACGGCGTTCCTTCCGCCCAAAGAAGCGAACGAGCAGTCCGGAAGAACCGACAGTAGTTCAGGTTAAAGACCGGGCGGATGGTTGTTTTAGGTGAGATTTTAGCTTCGTTGCGTTCACTGCTTCGCTCCACCTGTTGGTGTCCGCTCTGTGTCTGCGTGCACGCTGCCTAAGCCCCGCCCCCCGCTTTCCACAAGCAAAAGGGACAGAGGCAGCGTGATCAACTTAAATGTTGGTGACGTTTATTTATATGTAAAATGAATATCGCAGCACCAAAAATGATTGCACACGATTTCAGAGAGCGATATGTCATTTTATCGCATATTGCGACTGCCCTACATGTCGGTCAGCGTATATGTGGGGAAACGTGCATCCTGCTGTGGAATTAGTTAGAAAAGGATGTTCTTGTGCTTTTAATGAACTCAATCATGCGACGTGATGTTTCTGAATGTAATCATAGCACCTGTTAGACAACGCCTGTTCCCAGAAGCTGACACCGGTTTCCGCCAATCGCAGGCCTCTCGAATTTGGCGGGAACTGGAGGAAGAAGAGGAGGGGCTCGACGAAGGCCCCCGCGGACTGTTCCGCTCCGCACCGCGGAGGCGCCAGGCGCCGAGGGACCGAGCCGAGGAGGACGGGAGGCCGGCGCGGCGGAGAGAGTCGGACTATCCCGACGACGACCGCGTGCGCTATTTTGTTCTGGGCACCTTGGCGGCCGTGTTGGCTCTGTTCGTCAACTTGGTCTACCCCCTCTTTAACAAATCCAGCTGGACCTGAGCGGGGGCCACTCGCAGCCAACCGACAGACGTTTGATAGGAACATGTGGACGAGACAGCCAGAGGTTTTAATCCTCTAATGGAACAAGCGACTCAGTCATCCGTCGGCCCCCCGTTACACCCCAACGCGTGAAGTGTTACTGTGACCCTCTAAAGGGACTCCAGCACGCCGAGCGCTGCTCCCATCAGACTTTCTCAGTCCTGATGGGAGCACCGATTTTATACCAGTGTTTGTTTAATGAGCTTTATGCCTCACTGTGTGGAAGAGACGGGGATCATTCTTTCATGTGCAACACCAGACCGAAATTAAACATTGATGTCCTAACTTTAAACTAAAAACAAAATGGAGCAAACATACATAGATGTTAATGCACTGAATTTCTATTAATAAGATAAATTGTACACGTGCAATTTGTAAAAACAAAAGCAGGAGATAATATTAAAGGATAAACCTTTTTAATAGAAGCAACAAATAGATTGATTGATACAGATCTGACTGTAAAGTCCAAGAAAACAGCTTTATTAAAGCTGCAGCACAACGATACCATCAGCATCATGCGTCTGTGCATCGAACTGAATGTTTGCTGTTCAACAAGTCACATGTTTGAAGTGGCTGTCAGGTGACCAGCTCCTAACCGCCTTTCAGTTAGATCACGTGCACGGAAACCAAGCCATGTACTGCTGTGGATGTGTGGTAGCTACCAGTCGGCGTGTACCTTGTATTTAGAATATCTTTTACAGTCCTTTGAGACGTGGAACTAAAGGCATTCATCCACCCAGGCGCTCTTCAAAGACGCTCCTTTGGCTTCATTTTATAACACAAGAGTTGTTGCTTTATCTGTTTGTGTGTGTGTGTGACTTTGTTGTTTTAAGAGGATTAGTTCTTGTTCAACAAAGTCCCACAGTAACACACACCAGTTCTTTGAGTTAGAGACTGTTGTCAAAGGAATCCTGTGACTCAGGGCTTCCCCCTGATGTAATGGTGGGGAAACACTTAATATATTGACGTATCGATAGATAATATAAATGTTGGTACAAAGGGAAACGTGTTCTAGAGCTACAGCTGAAGCCTCCTTTTGTTTTTCTTGCACTAGACCTTTAAACGGAAGGTTGAGACGACCTGCTGAATGGCTCATGTGAGCAGAGAGTACTGTCATTTGTGTGTGACCTTTGTGTTGCCTTTTTAACTTCTTCAAATTTCTACAACAAGTGTTTTCTGGGTCTTTTTTTTTTTTAACTCCTGTTTGCCTGCAGCCCCGTCCTGATTTTAAAATGCTCTCTAATATGCACTGCAGTTCATTGTCATCTGTTGTCCTTGTTTCTTTGTTTCCCATGTTATTGAACTGCCTGTCAAAGTCAGTCTACATTTCATATCGAAGCCATAGTGCAGGTGAGGACTGAAGAGATCAACCACTTGATCTGTTTTAGAGATCTACATAATTTCATCATAAATGTTGGGATGAAGCAGATCTTGTCACAGCCACGGTGTGTGTAAATGTTGATTAAGGATTGCTGTCCTCTGAATGTAATGTTTTCCAACGAGATTCTCTGTTCGGAGTGGAAAGCTATTGATTGTGGACAGATGTGGAGGTCGTGAAATGTCAGCGTAGAGCCACTTTGCCTTAGATGCTCAGCAGAGAACCGTCGCACTGTGTGTACGTGACTCATGCAGTATATGCAAGCTTCTTTAGTGTGATGTGGGATGTCGTTTGGAAAGAGTGACTTGACAGGAAGTGATGTACGCTTCCTGTCTGTACTGCAATTTGAAGGAAACATAGTAATTTAATTGCAATAATGTATGTAGATCCCTTTATCTAATTGCTGCTTTCTGATCTAATATATATATATATATATAATCTCATTGTACTGCTTTGAGAAATAAAATCTCCATCTGTTTATAGCCTGTATGAATGTTATTCATCTTCCCCAAGCAGAAACTCCCAGAGGACCAGCCCAGCCACATTTATCCTTAACACTGGTTTATTTTTTTAACAGGGCTCTACCCAGTCGCTGTTTGGGGCCGACCTGGATCCCGAAGGACCGCCCACGCTGACCCAGGAGGTCCCCTCTGACCTCTTCGGCCTCTCTGGAGAGTGCGCCGCACCATCCCACAGCAACATGGAGGAGGTGGACTAGTCGCGGAGAGGACCACAGCCTAGCGATGTAGGGAAGCTCTTCCTCTCGGTGCTCCATAATAACACCGTCATCCAAGTCTGAGCGGTGCCATGCCAGAAGATCCGGAGGTGGTCTTTGAGGATTTCCACTGCACTCGCTTGTGAGGGAGCTTCAGATGCACATCCTTGATATACTCACGTTAACATACTTACCCATTGAAACAAACTTGATAGGATAGTTGGATTCATTCAGTTTATATAGTGGCACGCAAATAAGCAAACCCACTTCTGTAGTCTCTGGGCTCCTGTGAGAAGGTCGTTATGAACTACTGCTGAGACAGCAATTTATCAGCGACCACCTGAGAGGAGATCGGTGGAGGGCCTCGACTCAGAACACGCCAACGCACTGTGTGGACTGCAGGCTAAGGGGTTCACGCCGATAGTCTCTGGCTAAAGCTGCAGTCAACTCAGAGGATATGTTTGGGGACTGACGTTTGTTGTAACGTGTGTACTTTTTCTTTTCTTTTTAAAATGAGGGTATTGCCCGGGTTGTTTAGTTTCTGGCTGGGTTTGTTCGCTAACCTGGGTTGAATTTATCTTGAAAAATGTGAGACAGGTGCTGATTTGCTATTTTTTTTAATTTTATTTGGAGGGCACACTGCTTTTGTCTTGTCGCTTTAAAAACTTCCTTTGGCTTTTGTTTCTGTAGCGTATTCTTATTGTTTTTTTTGTTTTTTACTTGTTTACATATTCGATCCTGAGGATGCAATCGTCTAAGGCTTCAGTATAAACTGAAATGTGCATGCCCCGCATGTTAAATATCCGCTCCGCCAGGAACCTTTTCATGTCATCATTTCAGTTTTGCGAGAGTTGTCCAGTGTCACGCCTCCTTTCCTTTTGTAATAGACTGCGTATGTATAACGTGGGGCTCGTTAGGAATGCTGCTGTGGATAAATATAAATGGTTAATATAAATAAAACAATTTTGACAACTGCTTGTTGGGAGTTTTGTTCCCCCCCCCATAAATAAATATAAAAGTCCTAATTAATGACCAATATATTATGAAAAACATTAACATGCATGTGTAGGAACAGTGTAGTGCTCTACTTCTTGCACCTCACCGGGAGGTGGCGCTCCTTGCGCCTCCTCGCGGACTGGTGCGCCACTAAACCACAGAAGAAGACGGTGGCTCGGAGGAACACGGAAGTAAACCCGTGAAGTTACAATGGCAGCTGAACCGGTTCGGTGGCATGTCTGTTGAAATATGTACAAACCTCTAGCTCGTTGATGGAGGGGTTTGAGGACAGCGGCCGAGCAGCTGAAGAACATGACGGGACGGACAGCAGGAGCGGGACAGAGTCCCCGGGGACAGTCCCCCGCGGGCTCTGTCCCTCACGTCCCGGCCCGAGGAAGAAGCTGGTCCTGCACGTCGACCTCAACAACACCATCCTGGTGTCGGACACGGTGACGGGACAGGGCCCGGCGGCCGCCCTGGACTACTTCCTCTCAACGGTCACCTGGGGGAAGATGAGCAAACACGGTAAAGCGGACCCGTTGACGGTTAACGGTTAACGGGCACACGAGCACGTGACGTTAGTTTCTGCTGAGCCAGCGAGGTCGTTGTTCCGGTAAATATTCGCCCCCCAACTCCCCCCAAAATACAGACCGTGAGATAAAACGGAGATTTTAGAAATTTAGTTGAAATCAAACTCATACCGAATGGCAGGTCACCGCCTTTATTTTAATGTGGGAGAATATTAAAGTGACGTATTTTTACTTTACGTTAAATGTACCGAGCTAACTTGCATGACCAGAATCTCACGTTAACGGTGACTTAATATCGCGATAACTACACGCCTAAATATGACCATTTATCATCCCTTCCGCTGATTCCATGACCTTAGCAATGTATCACTCCTGGGTGGAAGAAGTACTTGACAATTAAAAAGCACTGAATATTTTGTAACAGAAACATGAATTAAAGGAGAAATATGTGTCAATATCTGGTCAATTACATGAGGCAGCCTGACACAATTATACACAGAAAGCTGTGTATGATTGTGTCAGGCGGCCTCATGAAAGTCATCAAGGAAAGAAACGTAAGTTCATGTCCTATTCATGCATTCAGGCATATTGGATGACTGATCCCCTCTGTGACGCAGGGAGGTGGGAGTGGCTGAGCGACTCCACGTCCCTGCTGCCACCTTGTGACGACGCGGTGAGCTACAACTCTCACTTTGGACGGACGCCGGGTTTCACCTCCGCTGCTGGGAAACGTTTCCGTGGGGTTCTGGATGAGCATCTGCATCTGTTCCGCTGGCCCGCGGGCACCAAGGCAAGGATCGTGAGGAGGCCAGATTAGATATTTGTATAAAGTTGAACAACTTCTCTCTGCTACTGACCGCTGACTTTGCTCCCTGCAGGCGGACCGGGAGCTGTCCGTCAAAGGCGAGGATGGACAACTGTACCACTGGATCCTCCCCTCTTTCTTCCAGCTGCTCAAAGACCTGGCGAAGGAAGGGAGGGAGTTTGCTGTTGTCTTCCGTACGTTTGGAAGCGACCTGCCTCGTGTGCTGAGTGCTGTATCCAGAGCGCTGAATGAAGGGGCTCATCCGCTGTTCCCCGATCTGCCCGATCTCAAGGTAGAAGTGAAATCGCTCTTATTTATTCTAAAGCCAGGAGTTTTAAGTGAGGGACGAGTTTGTGCTCAATGTCTTTTTTCTTTCAAGGGGACAGTTTAAATTCCAACAACATACTTGGGTCTAGCGCATGATAAACTGGTAAAATGTCAGGTGTACGTCCACATTATCGATCAGGATCACACGTACGGCCTCAGTGGACTCCTAAGCAACACTTAAGGGGTCGTTGTTGTGTCGTTCTACCTGCGCTATACTTTAAGCATCGTCACCTCTTTACCTCCCCTCAGGCAGCACTTTGCGATGGGGAGCTGTAGCTGTTCTCTATGTTCAAGTCAGTAGACTCCTTTGGACAAAGGTGACGTAGATTAGCTCGGACCGGTCCACTTCATTCCAGTCGAACGGGTGAAGTACAGACTTGTTTTTATCGTTTTTTTAAGGAAATGTCAATAACACCAGCACGGATGTGTTCTGCAGTGAATGTGTGTGGGACGGGGAACCACCGTCGTGGCCCTCTTTGCCTTTTTAACACGGACCGTCCTTAGACAGAAGACGCTCCCTCTCTCGGGGGCCTTCGTAGCTCGCTTGTTAGCCCGCCGGAGTGGAACACATCGACTTTGTGCGGCGAGCGGAATGAACGCACGCCGGGAGGCGGAGGAGATGTCAGCAAATGAAGCTGTCAGGCAAAGTGAGCTGTCTGGCACAGAGCGCAGAGTAGATCACATTGCACCGCCTATCGCATCGTGCTGTTCATGTGTTGCTTTGGACGAGGGGACGGTTGATGTTTCACAACTCAATATCGTTGGTGATACTGTTCTTTACCCTTTGATGGTACAGTGTTCACCATTTGGGGTGTATATTGGCAGATATTAAATATAATAATAATAAACTGTACTTTGATTTGTGTAAAAACACCCAAAACTATGAACAGCTGTTTTTATTTTATTTTCCTTCAATTCATATTCACTCCGGCAGTCTGTCTTTTACCACAGAGTCTGCCATCTGGCATCGGCATTGTAGAAAGCCTCTCTCTCCGTGTGTGTGATCAGACCTTCCCTCTGCTCCGTGGACGTATCTGGGCATGTGGCCTTCCCTCCACGATGCATCTGTATGGCGCTTAGAGCTGATAACCCACCATGTGTGAGCCTAGCGTTCCGCCTCAGGTCAACTCTGTTCTGTTACACACCACGCGATGTGTACAAGACGGAATATTCCCACTATTTGCTCCACCTGCTCTCTCGCTGCCGTCTGCTCTGTGGTTGTGCTGTTGGCCGCGTTGGCTTACGGCATGTCGACAGGCAAAACAAAGGCCTGCCGTGTTCGATGCAGACGGTAACCTAGATGTGTATAACCATGATGTTATAGGTGAGTTTTTAACAACTGGACCACTTAACGCAAACATTTGTTTTTTTTCACCACAGTGATCAAGTTTTAGCCGTGCGGTTTGATCTACGCTCTTTGTTCTAAAGCCACGGAAGGCCAGAGTTTTACTTTGTGTCGCTTTTATGTGTGAGAAAGCTGATCTCACTATTCCTGCAGGTGGAGCCTGGCGGAGAGCATCCGCTCTTAGAGCCGTTCCCTCTCTGACTGCCTCTTCTTGTCACTCCCGGCTCAGTTAAATGTGAATATGACTCCAGGGAAGATCCGCTGCCACAAGAAGGGAGCCGTCCTGAGCCGCGGCGAGGAGCGCCGGTCCACTCGCGACGGAGAACGGGGCCTGTACCAGTACTTGAGCTCAGTCCAGGGCGTGGGGGGCTTCCAGGACCACTTTGAATGGTATGCGCAGCACTCACTCAAGCCGGGTGGGATGGGGGTTTTGTGGCGTCCGTGCGTAAACTTGCTGTGACTTTCTTCTCCTTCAGGTGGGCCAGTAATACCTTCTCCATCCGGGGGGGGAAGCCGCTGTGGGTGGACCCCTTCGACCAACATGTCGAGCACATCTTCATCGACGACAACATCCGACAGAACGACGAGGATACCATCGTGCATCCCAAGGTACCGTCGCGACGCAGTACATCCACACATCTGCCTCTCTCCGGTCTCCAGCACGTCATGAATGGACTCCAAACAGATAACGAGTGGTATTCTCATTCAGCCAAGTCTCTTTATCCGCTGTGTAAATGATTCAGTGTTTTAATAAGATCCATGTAAATACGTCTTAGTAACGCGGCTGCATCTGTTTCTCCTGTTCTGAGAGCAGAGTCTCAGCACTCTGTTACGTAACCAGGAGAGAATCCCAGAGAAACCATCACAGCGATCTGGTCAATCCGTTAGACTGTTTCTTCTCATCTCCAGCGTTTTTTAAAGGAATCCCATCTGTCAGTGGGCAAACTGCCTGCTGTGTGCTCTCACAGCAGGCAGTGAGAGCACACGGTGCTCACTCATCAGAAACCGCAGGTGAACGCAGCTCGGCTCTGCCTCACAAATGACTGACAATATGGTTCCTCTCGTCTCTGCAGAGCAAACGCGATCGGATCAACCGTCGTATATTACATTACTTTCACGATGAGTGATAATCTAGTGGAGATGAAAAGAGCTGTCAAGGATATTTCTGCGATCTACTCACTTTATATCGGCTTATCATCTTGTCCTTTTGCTCCAGTTGATGAAGTTCAGAATGTCTCTTTATTCATTCAGCTATTAAGTAATAATAATAACATTACTTGTGGCTTCATTGCATTCTCAGTAAACCATGACTTAGTTCTATTCAAGGAACCTGAACCAGAACCTTCAGCCATCATTACTTTAATTGGTGTCCTCTGTGAAAACCATTGCGTGAATGGACAATTAAGAGTTGTTCCTTTTTGGGACTTTACAGTCCTTGCAGTTTGCCCGTGAGGAATCCACATCACTTTCTTTTAGGCGTTTTAATCAAAATTGTAAGTCCTTTTTTTCACTGAGACCTTTTCACCCTTTGGAACCCGTCAGTGTGTTGTAACAAACGTCATCTCCCGACATGCACTCGCTGTAATGTTTGTTTTTTAGGCAGGTATATTTCCATCAATTGTCTTTTGACAGACGTGGTCTACAAAGCTAACCTGACTTCCCCTCCCCGCTCCTTTTTGTTCTGTGTGTGTGTTCCTCAGGTGTTCTTGGACCCAGGTGGCGCTGAGACGCGCACAGCCAGCACCTCTGAGCTCTATGACATCACGCTGGTCCAGACCGACCTCCTGCAGGCCATTTCTCAGCCAAGCTACTTCACTCAGCGCGTCCACATCTGTCTGGAAAACTATGAGAGGAACCTCCAGCAGGGGGCAACCTAGAGCACAACTCTCCCCCGTGTCCGTCTGTCCGCACGACATGACCCACCACATCACAAGCCCGGCACCGGTGGAGGATGCAGACACAGGAGACTGTTGGTCTGAAATGTGTGTCGGGTGAAAGCCCTTTAAGCCTTGTGTTACTTGGCCGGCCGCTAGAATCCACCAGTTCATTTAGTTTACTGCTCCTCGTCGCTTTGCTGTAGCTTTTCCCTTTTTAGATGATTCTTACTTCCAATGTTGGCCCTCGCCTCCATTGTCTCTCTTCCGCCTGGAACGGACAGATAAAACTTGAAGACTTCTCGTTGACTTAGAAAGTACCAGATTACAGAGAATTACTGTAATTACTGTAACAATTGTGACGGCATGCATCAGAAAAGACTTATAATCTCAGTGATTTATATATTTTGATATGAATAACAACACTCCATATAGATCCATAACTCTTGTTTCCTGACACAATCTGGTGTAATATACCAGATGCATTAGTCTGGGCAGTTCATATCGTGTGTGTGTGTGTGTGTGTGTGTGTGTATATATATTTATAAATATATATAAATTGGTGTGCGCAGTGATATCTATAGAAATATGGGGCTGAACGTGGGTTTTGGAAGTGCTATTTGCAAGTAGCACTTTAACGGTGCAGCGTTATTTAAGATAAGTGATCCTGTGTGTTCTAAAGAAGCAATGCAGTTTGCAGAGTTTTCACTTTGTATGGAAGGACAACAATTTGTTGTTAAGTCTTGAGGAGCTTTGCAACAAGCTTCTTCTAAGCAATGTTAACGTACTTTGGTACTGTGCAATGAAGACTTCTATATACCACATTATTCTGATGCTGCCACGCAAATGATTCACATTTTATTTTTCTAATAGTAAATATTTTTAGTCGCTGTTGAATAAATTGCTGTGTTTATCATTGAATTGTTTGGTGTTTTTTTTGTGTGTGTACATTTTAAAAATGTGTTATTCTCTTACTAATGTTTCAAAAAAATATCCAAGACAAAGATGCATTAGCTCCCTGATTTAAAAGAGAAAGCGCTGCTTCTGTCCTGGAGCGTCTGTACTTGGTCGCACACATTGAGGTCCGTCCTGATGATCCAACATTTACTGGTTTGCCTGCAAAGCAGAAAAACGATTGCTTTAGTTCTGTTCCGCGCTCTGATCTGTCAGTGGTTAATATTTACAGCAATACCACAGAGTTGCATGTTTTCCTGATCGTGGAGCCCCACACCTTCATCACAGCGCTCATCTTTGCCGGTTACAGCTGGAATTACTGCTGCAGTCCATCAGCTTCTGCCCAGCTGCTCCTCCACGTGAAACATGGTTCCTCCTTTATTTTTATTACGAAGAATTAAACTGCAATATACATTTATTACACTTGATGCATTTGGATAGCACCTTTCCTACAAGACAAAAGTCCTTTATTATGAAAAGTAAAGTAAAAAATAAATACCATTAAAAAAGACATTAACATCACTATTAAAAGCCACTTTGTGTCTTTAAAGCGACAATATGTGGATCCCTCAGACCACATGAGGGCAGCAGCGGCGCTCCGAGGACCCCCTCACCTCCCAAAGGCACCATCCTCCCCCCTCAGGTGAGCGCGGACTCACCTGAAGCCCCCCAGCTGTCTCCAAGCAGCGCACATCGATGCAGAGGGTGTTTGGCGGAGGGGACGAGCTGCGACGGACCGCGACTGCAGACATGCGCGCGCGCGCCCGAGTGAGTGAGTGAGTGCGTGAGTGAGGGGGGCACGAGGGGGGGAGAGCACCGTGGAGCCAGCTGTTTGGAGCACGGAGGTTGTTGGTTTCGTGGGATTCCGTCGCTGAACGGGGAGCAGCAGCCGTGTTTCTGCCGCGCGGCGTCCTCCGCGGACGCGCCGTGTCCCACAGCTCACGCGCAGCCGCGCCTGACCCCCGAGGCACCGGGCAGGAGACCGGTAAGGACCGCCGTCACCAAACTTTCCTCCTCTCCTGCCGACTTGTTCCAAAATAGAAATAAATAAATCGGGTTTACGCGCCCGTTGGAGGACTTTGGATGCGGGAGCTTCACCTGCGCGCGCGCCGCTGATGGACATCAGCTCTGTCTGAACAGGTGTGAGTCGTAAGTTTAAAGACGGCATTGTCGCGAGAAAATGGTGGCCGGGGATCAAGCACAGCAACGATCGTCACAAAAAGAGTTTATATTGTGAGGCGACGCTCTTTGGAATGGCGACATATATAATCAATAAGTGACGCTGAACATGCGTGTTGCGGTAGTTCCCTGTCTAGAAGCCACGATGCCACGAACCTTTAGAGTTTGAGGTCGCGGGGTCACATCCATCCAGCTGTTTGGTGAGATGCGTCTTATTCGAGACGAGCCAGGTGCGCTTGGCCAACATCTGGATGCAGCTGTGAAACCACCGCTGGTAGATTGCCTCGGAGTCTTTATTGGGGCTTTGGAGCAACTTCAACTTTCCGCTTTACCCCCCCCTCTCTGCTGCCATACTGTGCCCACCCGACCTGCGAACGGTTTCTCCCACCTTGGTATGAGTTCATCTGCCTGATCAGGACCCCCGCTGACGTGCAGCATGTGGTCCTGTCTCGTCGGATCCGGCGCAGCGGTGCGCGCAGCCGTTACCGTGCGGCACAAAGCGAGGGCTCCCCGCGAAGGCTGCTTGCGCCTCGCTGCCGCCGTCGGGGCAGAAGCAGTAGGGGGGGGGGGGGGGGGCAGATGGACTGTCTGAGGGTCGAAATGATTAATATCTGAGATTAGCTGCCGATTCTGGCACAATGGCTTGTTCGAAGTGCACGGTGTTATATGTTGCACTATTTCTTGTTTCTTGCTCTTCTGAGTTTGTATCCTTATGGCTGAATGCACTTATTGTAAGTGGCTTTGGATAAAAGCGTCACCTAAATGACATGTAATGTAATAGGTGTTTTCCGCAAGACGCAAGTGGCGCAAATTGATTTGCTTCACCCAGTTACGTTTTTAGGAAATACTTTTGTTCTTGTGCCCTTTGGTGTTGCGCGTGCGATTTTAGCCCATTGCAGTTACATTTATCCCAAAGGTCAAACCTCAGGTCAGAGCGCACGTGTCCCTGAAGCCATGTCCGGCTTCACATGGCAAACGAAGAAATGACTGCTTTTCACATCTGTCCACCCCGTTGCGTCTCTTTTCTCTGCTTTCTATCAAATTCACCACATCTTGTGTTCATTTCATTGTGATCCGGTTAACCTGGTCATCCCTAACTGACCTATTATGTGTTATTAGTTAGCTGTTTGTGATCTAGGAATCGAGGCCTGTCCTCCAGTTGAATGAGCAGCGATTTGTGCTGCATGGCCACATCGCCTGAGAGCAGTGGATGGCAGCCCGGGGCCTCATCTATTAACCATGAGTACATGCACAGTTTAGTGCACAAGCCGTGCTCAGCCTATGTGGCCCCACGTTGGTTTAGGGAATCCGCTCATTATATTTATTCTAATCGATATGCCATAATGAACTATTGCATTTTGGTACCACTGACCAATTTGTGTTTTGCCGTAATTGAAGAGCCGTTTATGATCTACAGATCACACCAAAGAGGTCCTGAGCCCCATAGGGCTCCTCTCATTACTCGTGCTATGCTGACAGAACGCACTGCAATATGTATATATAACCCACATTGTCGTGAGACAGGACGTGCATGACGGCCTCCTATGAAGTCTTTTGCCCTGGTGCATGCTGGGAGACTGCTAAGCCTACAAAGAGACGTATTTTGAGTCCTTCCTCAAAGTTAGCATCGTACTGGTTCCCTCGACAGAACGCCAATTGGATTTCTCGAGAAGTGCACACACCACCCTTTTCTAAAAGGGCCAAATAATCTTCAATACGGAAAGTAATCATGTTTTTGTTTTTTTCAGTCAATTAAAGAAAGAATTCAGCCTGCCTACTACATCGTACACGATGTCAGACATTTCCTGCGGTGTCGCTATGGTGATCAGCTCAGAAACCGAAACAGAGAAAAGTACCCTGGTACTAAATGAGTACGGATGAGACGAACCACGCTAACGGGGCATAACCGTACATCTACTTAAAGAGATGTGATAAGACCTGTACAGGCATGATACAGAGGAGGTGAGATTCATCTGTCCAAAAGTGTAAAAGTGCAACTACAACATTGTTCTATGCATACTTTGATAAATGAGAGCCCCAAACTCTGCTCCACAGAGTTGGTGTGTGCGTTTAGTACAAATTGTCTATGATGTGATTGACGTGGTGTGTGTGGGACAGTGCAACACACCCACACACACACTACAAACATCAACCCAACACAGGGCACAGAGGAGATATGCGAGTGAGGTGGAGGGAGATGGACAAAGGAATTAACAGGTGGTGTATAGAGACCAAATAACAATTACGCGGCCGAAGACGGCAGAGAACCGAGGCAGGGTTGTTTAGTTGAACTAGTTTGACATTTTGCCGGAGTTAGAGGAAGCTTACAGGTGTTTGATACCACTCGTGTGTGTATGCTAAAGATGAGGCTCCTGCCAGCAGTCGCTCAGTTTAGGATACACACAGCAGGTAAAACGCTGACCCCCCCGGCCCCTCAAGCTAACCCATTGCATCCATTCAATGTCATTTTCATGGATAAATTCCAAAAGCATAGCTCAGTTCTTACCTCTTAGTAGTCCATTTGGAACAAAAAGCCCGTATTAGCTCACTGAGCCAATTGGTTAGCCCGCGGGGCAGAAATGCTAGCAGCTTAGCTCGCCAGCAGTAGGGCTCTCTATGCCTCTCTATGCTAAGCTAAACTTAATATCTGCTAGGTTTAGGTTAATATCTAAAGCACAGACATGATTGTGATACCAATCTTCTCATTGAACTCTCGCCGAGACAGCCAATGATTCAAACAGCTTGTTGCAGAGTTTGGGATTATCTCAAGTGCACATAGCAGCTCGGGCAAACAGGTTTGTGTGTTATGGTTGTGTGTGTGTGTGTTGTTGGGGCTGGTGGGATTAGAGAGCCGGCGGAGGACAGTTGGAGTCCTGGACAGCGTGTTGTCATGCACAAGTTTTATGTCCCATTCACATGTTGGGAACAATTGGTCCTCTTGGATTAAGGCCAATCCCAAATTGGTCCTCTTGGCATGAGCCCAGTGGTGTGTTTGGAATGAAGAGCCCGAGTGCACATCCAGGCTCATGGCTTGTTGCAGCTCAATGCAGCAAATGTATGTTTTACATTCACTCCAACGCATTAATAAATAAATACATACATTTTATTTGATATGACGTGCAAGTTATTTTAAAATATATATTTTTTCTATGAAAAACATTCTTCACTTGGGCCACTTTGAAATGTCACTGCAGGAAAAGTGCGGGTTGCTTAAGGGCATTAAATGATGGCTGGATTCAGTTTATTTCCGATGGTTTCCGGGCCGTACTGGGCAGCGGGGCTCGCTCTCTCTCTCGGCTGAGTGTTAATTGTATTAGTTACACTTTTGCCTTTTATGCTCAGGCATTTCTAAAAAACGGCTTTGGAAAAGAAGTTTCTTTTTCTTTTCCGGCAAAAAAGTTCATCATACCGCTCAACTCAACTCAACTCCGCCGCTCACTTGGTCAGAGATCCGGGCGTGATGCGCTATGAGCAAGAGATGAAGGCAGACGTGTTTCATTTCAGACCTCATCAGCTGAGGACATTCACAAGGCTCCGCACAGATTCCTATGGAGCCATAAAAGGTTTTATACTATTTTTGAAGTGAATTGGTGGCCGTCTGGTCCATTCCAGTAAATGTGATGTCTCAGATCACCTCCAGGCGGGCGTTTGAATTTCTTCAATTTCACACAAATATCTAATAGAAGACATAGAGACATTTTGGACGTACATGGATGTAAATTGCTACATGACTTGTTGGCGAAGGAATACCACTTTAAACAGGATGGAAATCTTTGGAGTTCCCCTCCTCCCCTGGCCTGACTACACCCGTAATTCATTTTCAACCCCACCCATACACCTGCAAAAGCTTTGCACTCCTGTGATTCTGTCACGTTGCCAAAATGTGGATTCATAATAATAGATATAATAAAGATTTACTTCCTGGTTGATACGTTGTCGAGACTAGGATGACAATAGAATCTTTTTTTTTTTTCTTGAGAAAAAAGTCAGTTGAAATTAGTTTGATTACATGCCCATTAATTGCTGCACATACTTCAAAGCAGGGGTGGGAGTTTTGATGAACTAATTACTGTAATGGCTTAAAGGTTTAGTAGAAACACAGCTGACTATGTGCCATGATGCCTTCTGATTGGAGGGAAACAAACGGCTGTGACTGCTGCCACATGGAGCAGTGGGTGTTATTTTGGCATCAGCTCACGGACGCTGATTGCTCTTTGATCGCTTGGTGTGATCGCTTCGATACGTGCTGGAGAGGCGTGGTGAGACGTTGCCACACAGGCAGAACTTTATGGCGACGATAGAACACCATTTTTCAATTGATGATGATGATGCAACACGATCTGACCAACCAGAGGGAGGGGAGGGAGACACCTGCCCCCGAGGACTTGCGTGCACACGGGCGGCCCAGTCTGACATGTGACGAAGGCAAATGAAAGGAGGGGAAATGCCACATCCTGCACAGGCTTTGATGTTGACAGTATTACCATCCACGAACAATCCACACGGTTACATAAACTCACTTAAACCCGGGTCTGGATGAGCGGCCGATGGTAGCAAATATTAATCTGGTGGCAGCAGGAAAGAGTGGAGATAAAAGAGAACAGCGCTGCCGTTAAAATGTGTTTTCTAACCAATATGTGAATAATTTATAAGAACATAATTTAAATTGCAAGCCTCAATGAATTCATGCACAGCACATCCAAAACGTTCCTAATTAGCAGTGTGGCTTTTTACTCTGCAGTTTTTAAGAAAAATCTTTAAAACAATTGATTCGGAGCCTCTGAAAATAGGGGATGACTGTGGAACAGTAGCCGTGATTCCTAAACTGTCCATGAGGTGTTTTCGTTATATCCATGGAATTGAACCTTAAAGTCTAAACTTCAATCAATTTTAACTTAAGAAGTCAGTATTTGGTTGGAGTTGCGTAGAGGCCACATTTGTTTTTTTGTCACCGGCCAAATACTTATGACCCAGACTGTAATTATAAATGTATATATAAATACACAATACCCTCAATAATATTTATTGATGCAGTGACAACATCTCCTTCAAACAATTCCAGCATTTTAGGCCACGTTGGAGACGCTGTTGATTCAAATCTAAATCCGACAGAAGGATTTGACCTGTTTGTCACGTGGTGGCTGGTGGAAAATGTTCTCAGTAGGGTAATTGAATAAATTACATCCCAGCTTGATTTAATGCAAAACAATCAAGGTATCAAAACATTTAAATATTTCATATTTATTCCAACATGAAAAAAAGCTGTAAATAACACTTTGACAATCTTATTTTTGTCACCCTCACTGTCAATTCTGTATAAAATAATATAGATATATATCAAATAATAATCAATATGGTATAATGTATATAGTATATATATGTCAGTTGTCTCGTCTGCCTGAATGGCGATAAAATTCGTCCTCTTGCATGTCCCACATTTCTTTAATTAATCAGCAATCGGCTAAAGTGCTTCTTCCCGCCTCC